CAACTTAACACTTGCAAGTGCGCTGCTTGCAAGTCGAATTCTTCCTCGTGTGTACTAAGTACACTGTTGGGTTCGCGCACTGAAGTGAAGATGGCGCTGTGTGATTCGGATGTCGTTTTGCGCACTTCCCCTCTCTCATACCACTCACATTCTCATTCCTGCACACGGGATAAATTGGAGGGGAAAAGAGGGGAAGGGGGGTTAAACGTGAGGCGGAGCAACAATGAGAAAGGAGACAGAGAAAGAGAGAGGGAAGCGGGGCGGGGAGGGGAGGGGCGGGCGCTGTTGCCAGACCGAGAAAGAGAGAGGGAGTTCTTACAATAAGTTCAGAAAAAGGTATGAGCGGAGCGCGTAAACGTACTTACATTATGTAGTGCGAGCCTCCAGCTCTATGCGTTTAACACGGAGGTGGTAACCACGTGTGTGGTCGGACCATCGGTTTTTTCGTCGAAGGGAGAGGCCGGCAAGGTAGAAAGGGGAGCCCTCGGGAAGTAAGAGAGTTTAGGCTCTATAGGTCTCAGCGATGCGCATCGACGATGCACTCCGTGCACTTCCCCTGGTCAGAGTCTGGCTGTGTTGGTGTTCACGGGGGGGTCATTCCGCCTGAGCAAGTCGCGCCCGCCACTGTTTCCCTTTCGCCCCGTCGTCGGCGAACGACGCGGCAGAAGGGGTGAGGGTAAAGTTTGCACGAGCAGGGTACGGTTTCACTGCGTGCCTGAATGCAAGCCACCTGGCACGCCCGAGGGGGGAGGGGGAGGGGGGGTCTTCGACGGCACGACACACAGCCAGCCCCCCGACGAAGAGGCCCGTTGGGCAAACAGGACCTTTGGCGACGAGGGGAGAGAGAGAGGACCCAGGGGGACCGCAGCAGGACGCTAGCGCCCGTCGCCGCGACGCCACGGCCGCGCACTCCGCTCTCCCGGCCGGTTCTTCCTTTCGGAAATAAAAATGGTGGCCACGGTGGCGTTTATTGTGTTCAGCTCCTCAGCTGAACGGCGGCGGGGCCTCGCCGAGCGCCGTGACTAGCCGCTTCTGGAAGAGCAAACGTGTACGCCTCTGCGGAATTGAGGCGTTTTAGGGAGCCCGGGGCAGTCCAGTCTATAGTCAAGTCTAGTCGGGGCGAGAGCGGAGGTGCTAGGTCTCGGGGGCAGGGAGGGAGGGAGTGGGGCTTATGGACACACCCCGGGTGCCCCACGGCGCGGCGCCCGCGTAGTGAATCCCAATGACGCCCCCCTTCCCCTCCCCCCTCCAGCGACGCCTGTGCCGGCCACAGCACGCGGAGGAGGCCGTCACTGTGGTGCCCAAAGCAGGGCTCACGGGCTGCTCACCCCCCGGGGATAACGGATCGCGACGGACTGTCGGGTGGAGCCTCGGGTCATAGAGGCTTAATCCGACGATCTGGTAATCTCATCTCCATCCGCCTTGGGGGATGCAAGCTATTCCCGCGCTCACACGCGTATCGAACGCAGCCGAGAGGGTTTCGGCTTCTCACGAGCGGAGCTCGGCCGCCACGCCCACACACACACACACAGGTTGAAAAGCGCTGCTGCTGATGGCGGGGACCAGGCGGGGACGGACACGGGGGACCATCTTGGGGACCAGGACCGTGACGTGACCCGCCCCCCGGTGGTGGTCCTACGAGTGCGACGGAGACAGGCGGGGCAGAGGGGCGGGCGGGGGGCCGTCCATCACCGAGCTCCCCCGTCCAGCACTCCTCCTCGAGTCCTTCCTGGGATGGGGGCAGCCCAGGGCAGCGGATGAATAGTAGAGGGAGAAGAAGAGAGGCAGCCCGGACGACAGGGAGAAAAAAACGGAGCCGGCGTGGCGTGGCGTGGCGTGGCGGTGCTGTACCAGAGAGGAGGCTGGGGCGGGGTGGGATGGGAGTCCGACCCTCGGCGTTGCCACATCGTGGGAAATTGGACGGAGCAGAAAATCATTTCGGATCGTCGGCAATTTCCGCAATATAGTGAGTGTATTGAATTGTGTGAGCGTCTCCGCTCGGCTGGATGCAGCCAGCAGGCAGGTCGTCGTGGGCGTGGGAGTCAGTCAAAAGTGCGGAGTCGACGACGCCAACCGGTGCGACCGAAAAGGCGTCGGTCGTAAAAAACGAACTCACACACAGTCGTCATACAGGACTGTATGCAACTGGAATGTAAGCTGCAGGCGCGGAGCAGCCATGTGCAACAGGTTGCTGTAAAGAGCGCTGCTGAGTGGAGCAAGTGTGCGTCGTGCGTCTGGCAGCGCCGGCCCGCCGCACCACCCACCACTCCACTACGCCACGCCACGCCCGTGCCAGCGCCAGGTGGACACGGCCCAGCCTCGTGCTGCTGGACCGGAGCAGCGTGTGTTACTGGAGTGAATTATGCCCCGCAGGCGAGACTAGATTTATAATCTCGCCAGAGACGAAAAGAACAAAATTGTTATCGAGTTGTGGTTGTGGTTGACAATCTATACTCCAGCTGGTCCGAGCTGGTCTGCTCATGGCTGAAAACCCAGTGGCGGAAGAGAAGGGGGCGGGGGCACACGAGACAGTGCGTGACGCTGGCGCGCTCCCTCACGCGAGGATCGTAAAGTTATTCGGGAAAATCAGCGCCGATCGGCGGAAAAGGACCGTAAACATCATCATACGCGCTCATTCGCTCAGAGGGGCGGGCGCGGCGCGGGCAACACACCGGCGGGCACGCTGCCAGCGCGCCGGGGCAGAGCAGGGCGAGGCTCACTGAATAACCCAATGAGATCGAACGGTCTGCGCGCGCTGCACTTGAACAGTTATGCTCCGGAGGGGAGAGATCAGAGAGCTGAGCTGAGCAGAGCGCGCAGACATATAGAGGGGAAAAAATGTGGGCTGATCCCGATGCGAGCCTGCTGCAATGACAGAGTGGTTCGCATCAGGTGCGGCCCACGCCAAGTACACTACACTCCGTACACAACCGCGGGCCGCGGGTGAAATACGAGTGATCAACTCAACTTCAACTGGAATGCCCGGCCGCGTGCAGCAGCGGGACTCGCGGTCGATTGCCCGCGATGACGCTTTCAGATCCAACAAAACGGTTTCGTTCGGACCTCCCTCCCTCCTCCCAAAGACCCTCACGGAGCACTGCTTTTTTGTGGCCGGAGCCACTAACGAGGAGGGCCACCGTAAGGCCCTTCTTCCTGTTCCTTCCTTGCCCCTCCCCCTTCCCCTTCCACTTTCCTCCTTACCCACACCTGTCCGACTGACGCGTAATGACACGTTTATGAATGCCGCGTCTCGTCTCGCCTCCCGCGCGACGCACGGTGACATCTTTATGAATGCTCCGCGCCGCGGTCACACCGGCGGTCAACGCCGCCGCCCCGGCTCACCGCGCTTGTCATCACAAGACACGCACAAAGAAACGCGCGAACAGACACACGCTGAGGTTCTTCAATAAAACGACATCAAAGTCCTCTCATCTCGGTTGCCTTCCTCGTCGTCAAGTTTGTGGACAGTTTACTACGTATCAGTGCAGGCAGGATGCGCCTTCGGTGTAGTTTCCTCAAATATCTGTGCTTTCCATGTCGGGGCCATGTCGGGGCCCCTGATAAAGACCAGGCCATCGCCGCTGCCGCGCAAAAAGCCCCGCCTCCCCAAAAATTTTCGGTGGCCTTTCCTTGTCCTTGGGCGGGAGCGGGTGGCTTCCCCGTCGGGCCCCGCCCAGCACGATAAAGACCAGAGCCGCGCGCTCTCCACACTCTGCTGGAAGGCGGGTTCAAAGAGGTGCTCTGGGGCGGGGCGCGCCGCGGCCCCGGCCCGGCAGGCACAGCGGTAGTAAAGCCGGACTCATCCGGATGCGTGCCATGCAGGCCCAGGGGCGGAGCAGGGGAGGGGGGCGGGGCGGGACATACTGCCTTTACGCCTCCTTACAGCGTCTTTACGGGCCAGACCTTTAGGGGGCCGAGGGGCCCTGCCCGGCGCATTCCACTCTGCCGCCCGGACTCTACCCGGACCCACCCGCTACCCGTACCCGCCCTCCACAGCCCGCCTGGAGTGTGGGCCTGGAGCTGGAACCCTGCCGGCCCGTCCGACTCCGGCGGACCGCAGGCGGCCAGGTGAGCTGGCAGGCAGCCGCGCCGGGCCAGCGCTCTGGCGCGCACAAGCCCCACAGGAACGCGAGAATAAGAGGGAAGGGGGAAGGGAAAGGGGAAAAGAGAGAGAGGGGAGGGGGTCTGGGAGGAAATGATGCTCCCAACGCAAAACGAACGCGGCCGCACCGACGCGGGGCGGGGAGGAGAGGGCGGCGGTGGCGCGACGGCAGACGCCTCCAGCGAACCAAAGCCAAGCACTCCGGCAGGTCGAGGGCCGTGCCCTCCCGGGCGCTTACACCCACCTGGACGCCCTGGAGCCGCATAGACAGCGGCCTGGAGTGAGCAGACTCTACTCCAGGACTTCTGGACTGGAGTCAGCTGGAGAGACCGGCTCGGCGCCACCACCGCCGCCGAGTCACGCCCGCGCACCTTGCCGCCCGTCGGCCGTCGTTGCGTCAGTCGCAGACGTACGTACGTCCGCGATCACCAGTCTCGAGCCGCCGCCGATCTCGCGCCGATCAGCGTCACGTCGCGCTGCTGCTGCTAAGCATGCGGGGGCGCGCACAATCGAGCCCATTGTTCCCCGTCCAGGAGCAGGGCATGACCCAGGAGTGTCCTGCGGGGCCTACATAGGGAGCAGGGCCCAGCAGTGTCCTGCAGGACCTGCGTAGAGAGCGGGGCCCTGGGAGTGTCCTGTAAACCTGTGCAGGGAGCGGGGCCCACCGGCCCACCCCGGGCTTGGAGGCTCCGGCCGGCTCCGGCTCCGACTCACATACCTGACGCGGGGTTCAAGTACCGCCCAGCGCCGCACCCACACGAGCCGGGACCTCCCCCATCCTCTCCTATCAGGCTGCGGTGAGCCGAGGTGCGCGCCCGCCGTTGTTTTCCACTCCATCCTCCCTGTCTCGTCTCGTCTGAGACGCGCCTTCCAATTAGAGACGCGTAAAGCGGCTTACCTGTGCGGAGGACAAGAGGCAGGGGGTGGTGGTGCAGGCCGGGTACTGCAGCCGGTGGGGGATCCTGGGCCAGGCCACGGCCAGCGAGAGGGTGATGACGGCCAGCAGCAGCAGGAGCATGACGGCGGCCATGGCCCAGAGCAGGCCCTGGCGGGAGAGGCCCGTGCGCGAGCGCAGGTGCTCCTCCAGCTCCTGTCGCCGACGCTGCAGCCGGTCCATGGTGCCGGCCTTCTTGAGGCCCTTGGCGGGGCCGTTGGGCGGCGCGGCCGTGCCCTCCTCGGCCGCCAGGAGCTTCTCCTTGTGCGGGTCCGAGGCCGGCACATCCTCGGGGTCGCCCTCCTTGTCCTTGAGCGGCTGCCGCTCGGCGTTGGCGTTGCTGTCCGGGGCCATGGCGTCGCTCATGGCCAGGGCCGCGGCGTCGCCGTTGGGCTTCTTCTTCTTGTCGTCTTTAGCCATGTCACTGCCGGGTCACTGTACACACATCACTCACTGTCACTCCACTCGCACTCACTCGCCACACGGCGCTCGCTCTCTCGCTCCCACGCGCTGCACCGCGCTGCACCGCACACTGGACTGGACTGACCAGGTACACTCACACTCCCCGACCCGGTCCGACCGACGCCAAGCCAAGCGCGCCGAGCGGCCAGGTAACCCAACTACGCCGCGCCACGCTTCTCCAGCGACGCTACGTCGGGCCGCTCCAGCGGGGCTCTCCAGCCCAGCAGCCAAAGGCGATCGGCGTCCGAACGCCCGCCCCGACGGCACAGAACGGGTTTCAGAACGCAAACACCGGCAGTGTCCCCGCGGGTTGCTTCTCTTCCTCGAACGCTCTCGGAGGACCGCCGGCAGCCCCTTAGCTCCAGCTCCACTCTAGCTTCGCTCCCCGTGTCGAGGGCCGGGAGGGAACTCCCACCCTTACGCTGGAGCCGTTGCTCGCCCTAACACTCGCGGGCTGACAGTAACCGTGCGTCCTGCGAAGCGTCTTCCCCGACGCTGCCGCAGCAACTGGTGGTGGTAGTGTGAGAGAGTGGCGGGGGGCGCGGGTAGTGGTCCTCCTGTGAGAGGTACGCAGAGCAGTCGAGCGGCAGCCAATCACAGCGCTTTGGTGTTCCACGGGCGCGGCCATACCCCAAAATCACCCTGTGCGAGGCTAGGAGCGGCCATAACCTCCCTCGCTCCACCTCGAGTTTTCAGATATTAATTTCGCTCAAAATTCTCTTCGCACCGCCGCGAGACATGACTCATTTTAAATGTGAGACTTGCAGGAGCTCATAAATTATATAACTCGCCCGCTTTAAGCCAAAATCTGTTGATAACAACGATTACCAAGCGCAGAGCTAGCGCGCGCTTTCTGCTAGTCCTAGTCTCGCACAGGGTGTCTCCAGCCCCATGGAACACCAGCCGCCAGCTCTGCGTACCTCTCACAGGAGGGCCACTAGGCGCGGGGCGCGGGCGAGATCGCGGGGTGCGGACCGCCGCCATGGCGCTGCGGTGCTGCCCTCTAGGTGGTGATGGTGTTGGTGTGGCTACCCCACGCTCTCGTCTCTAGCTCACGCTCCGCGGTTCCGCGTGGAGAATCGTGGCGGAGCGTGGCGGGGGGTTCGGGGCTCCGTTCGGGTGGAATCACGTTCGGCTCCATTCGGCTCGTGATCGGCTTTGTTCGGCTCCCCACCAACGTCGCGGAGTTACCGCGTCGGGCACCAGAGCGCAGCACAAGCCGGGCGCGATGGATGACGGCGCGAAACGAGAGCGGGCACAAACGCGAGCGCTAATCGGGCGGTGATCAATCAGTTTGAGAAGTTTGAGCGGCGGCGGCTCCGGCGGCTGTTGCTGACATCTATTTCGATACAGTTCTGAACAGGCTCGATCTGACGTGGTCGCGTTCTGACTATGATACGATACACGCGAAATGCGAGAGGACATTTTCATCCCGGAAAATGTTGTGTGCTTAAGCCCATCATGCGTACCGGGTGATTCAGAGAAGACGCAGGTGCGCGCGTGTTTGCCTATCCTCGACTCGGTGGGCGCACGGGTCGAGGTCTGGGGAGAGGTGAGGAGGGGACCCGTGCGCCCGCCGAGTCGAGGATAGGCAAACCCGCGCGCACCTGCGTCTTCTCGGTATATGGGATATTTTTCAGGGGATAAATTGTACCAGTTCAGATGAAATGAATAGTAACCCTCTCTTTTAGCTGGTGCAAGAGAGAGATGGCTACTGGTTTTGAGAGCCTGCACTCTACCCTCTATTCCGCAGGATATGGTCGTTCTACGGACGGGTTGCATACTCGCACGGCGCCACACGGCCACGGCGCCTCGGTGAGCGACGATAGGCAGGCCCGCCCGCACGCCTGCATCCGGTACACAACAACTACCGGAATAAAGAACGGAGCATCATGCGTGTAGACCCCACAAACAGTTTGTCCGCCGCCAGAAAAGAAGAATAAGAAGAGGAGAGGACGACGATGCCTCACGCGAACGGGGGGCCGCGGTCGCCACGTCCGCCCGTGAAGCAACTTTGTCTGTTTCTTAACTATTTACCGGCAGCGGACAAACTGTTGCATGACCTCCGGGGCGCGGCGGTGCATTTGATCTGACGGCTCCGTCGCGCCTGGCCACGCCCGGCTACGCCCCCCGCCTGTGCCCCGCCGAGCTGCCGAGCTTTGCTTATCGCACGTGCCAATTGTATACCAATTGCTGTGTGCCTTGTGTGACCCGTGCAGGAACCGGGCGGGCGGGCGGCCGCTCCACGACAGCATTGCATGATCGGCCCCCTCTGCTACGCGACACCTTGCATGGGGATAGAGAGAAAGCACGCAGCAGCGCGTTATGCATACGGCTCGGCCTGCCTCACTGTACTCGGCGCGGGCACAGCAACTGTAGTAGTACACACGCGGTCCGCTGTGTACCAGCAGCACCGCGCCGCGCTCCAGAATGTCCCCGCCTACTTGTTTGGACTTCAACCGCGACAACAAATTACTGTTCTGATAGGGCGCGCCCGCCACCGCCATGCACCCGCCACCCCCGCCCCGCCCCGCTTCACCCCGTTGGTGATTACGGCTCATATTATACGGTCATATCGCATAGCAGCAGCAGGGGCCCGAGCCCGCGCAGGACGACTCACACACACACACTGCTTATCGAGGGGAGGGGAGGGGGTGACTTCTGCCCCCGCTTGACTGCCCGGCCCATGGCCCGCGGCCGCGGCGCGCGCTCTCACTCACACAGACGCGCGCGCGCGCGCTCAGTTGTCTACGTGCATGTGTGAGATGGGGGTCGGGGAGGTAATCGTCCTGCAGGACCCTAGGCAGACCTCGGTCTGCTTCGGTTCATCTCCGCCCGCGATCCCATACGGGGACGCACGAAAGTCATTGACTCAGAGTTATTATTGGTAAACTGATAGCCGATTCTTATAGGGCCTCTCGGATTGGACCCTGCTGTCAATCCATCCCAATCTTATCAACTCTGCTTTGCCACTTTGGGCCACCCCGTTTTAATAAAGAGAGCGCCACCGACGCCGATTTCATCCCGTTTCCCACGGAGAGGATCGGCCCCCCGATGCGACAGATGATGCCGATGATAGGGATCGTCCAGAAAGTACGCCCGCCATTCTCTGTTTCAAAACTTCCGATATGGAGCCTACGCTCGCTCTCATATCGCCTGATGCGTAGGCAACATCTTGCTTGTAGTGCATGCGTGTGCTGCGGGGTGGCCTACCCCGAGTCTCGCAGGCGCCGAGCTCCCGCAATCCGACGGATGAATCTGAGTAAATCGGACGTACTTTCTGGACGATCCCATATGTCCGGGCCCATGGCCCCCCGCGGGGGTGCGGGAGAGGAGTTATTAGTCCCCCTTGTCGTCTCTAGTGAGCCTCCTGAAAGGTAGGAATTTGCGCAACAAAACCCCTATTTGTAGGCAACCCTTATGCACCCCCCGCCCCCCTTTCTCCGGGGAAAATCTGTGCTGTCGAGAGGGAAAAAAGCGAGAAGGGCGCGCAGTTTTCCTTCTGCAAGGTAAAAATACAAGACGAGTGTTTAGTACTCTGTTGCTCTGGTGGTGGAAAGGGCGATGATGGAGAAATTGTGGGTTTGGCTGGCGGTGTTGCAGTGGTCAGAGGCGACGCGGCGCTGCATGCAGGGCCGACGCTGTGGGAGCGAGCAGGGCGCCTTCGTTTCCAATATATTGGGATCGGTTCGGCTCTGCTTACGGCCCGGGGCTGCGACGATATCGGAGCCTGTCGTAGTCGTAGTCAGGCCGTCCGCCCGCCGCCGCGGCCCGCCATGTTCGGGTTCATTCGGCGTACCAGGTCGCGGAGGGTCACGGTCCGCCCGCGCCGCCCCCCTCCCCCCGCGCCGCCTTGGGGCCCGTCCCCGGCCGCATGTTGCCCTGATGTCCACTCAGTCAGTGAGCGAGTGCCCACTGAACTGGATACGCGTCTTCCCGAGGCTCGCGCGCTCGTCGCCTCCGCCGTCGTCGTCGTGCAGGACGTGCCCCTCCAAGCGACGTCGCCACGCCCCACCACGCCCCCGGACAGCGGCAGGTGAGTATTATTGCGAGGCGAGCACATGCCAGGACATATAAGCGAAGCGCAGTGCGAACCCCCGACGACACCGCGGACTTTGACCCGCGCGCGCGGACGTGTTTTTGTGTAGCTGCGCGTCAAACATGGCGGGAGAGGGAGGGGGGGGGGTCTTCTTCCTCTTGTGTTAGTACCGGGAATCAAACCCAAGTCAAGAAGGCTGCGGTTGGCCCCCGAGGGGGTCGCACGGGCGCCGAGCTTTCCGCCGTCCGACTTTGGACGCGGAGCCCCTCCCCGGTGACGTCGGCGCGATGCGCGCCCGGGTCGTGGTTGGGCCCCGCGAGGGGCTGCATCGCATCGCATCGGCCGCGTTATCGTCGCCAAGCGAGCCAAGCGCTGCTGCGTCCGTGTTTTCTTGTTTTTAAGGGGGACAACAGCAGCGTTGGCCGAGAGCGGCGGCGGCGTCAGTAGCAGGGGAAAAGGGGTAGGGGGGGGGGCGTCCTAAGTAGCGAGGACGTACGCGAGATAACTCTTCTCGTCAGCCTTCCCTTTCCCTCCTCTCCTCCAGTGGACAGCACTTAGGCCCTAGCGCTGGGGTAGGTCGTGATCGGAGGATATGGTGCATGCGTCAATAGCAGACGGACCCCCCCCCCCCCGGGGGGGGTCCCCCCCTCCCTCCTAGTGGTTGCTTAGGGAAGCAGCAGTTCAGCCCTAATGGAGGCGCGCTCAACCAACAGCATTAGCGACACAGTCTTGATTGTTGTTTGCAGTGTCTTCCGTCCTGTCGGTGTCCGCGACCATGTGAGGACCCTGGCGACGCAGCAGGAGCGCATCTAACGTCGAGCGGGGTGCAGTCGAGAGGACACACGGTAGCAAGCGAGCAGGGGATGGTCGCCATGGCCAGCGACTCGTACCTCCTGAAAGTGCCCCCGCCCCCGTGCCAGGCGCGGTGCCGGGGCGGCGACCAGCAGTCGACCTCGTCCTGCGAGGTGGCCATGGTGGTGACCCTCGTGGTACTGGTGGCCGGCATCCTGTCTCTGGCCGGTACCGTGTTCTACTTGCACATGGAGCTGGGCAGAGTGCAGGCGTACACGATCCAGCTCGAAGCCAGACTCAAAGTTATCGACACCAAGCTCAGCCACCTCAACTACATCGAGCAGCTGAGGGCGTTCGAGAACCCGGCTGGGGTGAGAGGGGAAAGTCTCATTGTCCGAGTCCTGGACTGGAGGGAGTGGACTAATTCCTCTGTGTGCAGGCCCTCGACCACGGTGACCTGTCCGACTTGGACGAGGAGGATGAGGACGAGGAAGACGACGACTTCCTGCCATACTACCAAGACGAGGAGAACGATGGCATCATCGAGAGGCGCGTCCGAGACGAGCAGGACGAGGACACGACCGTGCAGCCCCTGCAACCGGCCGGCAGCCTTCTGGGGCGCAGTCTCGGGGTTGATGCCACTTCCAGCCCGCTGACGCCCGGCTCTAACCCATTCGACGAGAATATTGGTCCGGAGGACGCCCCCTTGGACAACCATGAGGCCGGAAGACAGGTGAGCGACTCGTAACCAACGATGTAGCAGCAGTCTGTGTCCGCCTAGCCCATATGTGGCGCCCTTTTGGTAACACGAATCCCGACCGCCGGCACGCAGGCCCAGCCCATCCAATCCCCCGTGCAGTTCCCCTCGGAGGCGGCTACCCTCCGCCAGCGCCGCGACGCGCAGCAGCCCCAGCTGAAGCTGTACCACACGCTGCAGGTGCCCGCCGCGCCGCCCGCCGAATCCTGGTGAGTGATGCCCGTCGCCGACGTGCAAAGGGTTGTCTGTCAGCCTACAGCTGTCCACTAATGTTACGTTCACGTCGTGCCGCAGGAGCCCCTACGGCTCACACCGCCCCCAGCCCATGTACGCGGAGCGCGCGCCCACGGGCTTCGTGACGCCGCCGCGGCCCTCCGCCGCCCTCCTCGGCACCACCCCGGCGGCACCCATCGCCAGCAGAAGGTACGTAAAGACGGGTGACATCGACGGCGACCTCGACAACGTGCTCCCCCGGGACTCACGCCCCTCCCTCCCTCCGCAGGTCCAGGGTGATGGACGCCGAGAGGGCTCCGCGCAGGCAGCACCATCAGCAGCGGGCCGGGCGCAGGCAGCGGCTGCAGGAGGTCCCGCAGGACGTGTCGCAGGACGTGCAGCGCAGCGTGGAGGTGGGGCGCCGCCGCCAGCAGCCCGCGCAGCCCGCCTGGGCGCCCGCCGGGGCCGCCTACGAGCAGCGAGACCCCTGGCGTGCCTCGCGGCGAGGAGTGCGGGTGACTGACACTTTCCACCAGTAACGCGCAGTCTACACTCCGCGTACACTTGCCGAGGGGAGGGAGGAAAAGTCTACCTCACGGACGGGGCGTGGGAAAAGCGTTTTATAGGATTAGGAGTTTGATACTTATCGGGAAGCAGCGGGTTTGAAAATCGCAAAACGAGGGTGGGAAAATGTACGACACGAAATGTAGAATACCATGACATGCCTTGTTGATGTTTTTGTATATATTGTCAGCTTATGTACACCAAGTTACTATTGTACCTGCGCGTAAATTACGGGCGATCGACCATAAGACACAATAATTTTTAGTACTGATAGTGGTAGAATGACTAATGCGTAAAACAAATACAGGTTGAATTATTTAGCAGTGTTTTCGCTGAGACTGATGTAGGATTACAAATTGAGGGTGTACATGAGGAATTCAGCACGAGAAAAAAGTGTTGTTTCAGCAATTTTTGGTGCTAAGATTAAATGCTCTGTAAAATTTCCTATTTATTTTTGTAGTGTATCGTTCACAAACTGCTGAAAATTGTTTTCTTGTTCAATACAGCAGAATGCATTGTTTTTGTTAGGAAAAAATAAATAAAAGTTCTATTTTTTTAATGTATAAAAAAAAAGAAACCACAATACCGTGCTTTATTTCTCGTGTCAAACCTCCATTTCCCGCACACAAACAAAAATCACAACAACCGCGATGCGGCCGCGTGTTTTCAATGGACACGCCCTGCTTCTCCCTCTGCAGAGCATCGACGCCACGGTGGAGGTGGAGCAGACCTGGCGGCCGTACGCCCCCGTGGTGGAGGGCCCCGCCATCGCGGCGCACTTTGTAGGGGACTCGGGCCGCCAGCGCGCCAGCCACCACTACGACGGTAGGTCCCCCGCGCAGGCGTTCCTTGGGAATTCCCTCGGGGCGTTCGCAGTGCGGCGCAGGCGTTCCTAGGGAAGTTTCCCCCGAGGCGTTTGCAGTGCGGTGCAGGACTTCCCAGGGAATTCCCTCCAGGCGTTCGCAGGGCGGCGCAGGCGTTCCTAGGGAATTCCCTCTTGGTGTTCGCGCAGCACTCACACCCGATCTTGTGCCGCAGAGAGCGGCCGGCTCAAGCACCCGACGGGCGAGTACGCGGACTGGCGGGCCAGCGACTGGGTGCGGGAGCTGGGCCTGGACCACCACTTCAGGCTCGCCGAGGCGGGTGGCCACGTGACGGTGGACACGCCGGGGCTGTACTTCGTGTACGCGCAGGTGAGCTCCTCCAGGGGGACTGCCTGCTGCTGCTCAGTTGATCACGTGTGAGCGACGGACCCACGACCACCTGGGGCGTTTTCTGCCGGCAGGTCAACTACGCCAACGACAAGAACGAGAACGGCTACTGGGTGTACCGCAACGGCCACAAGGAGCTGCTGTGCGCCGTGACCTCGGCCGTGGTGGGCTCGTCCGCGCACGCCAACACGTGCTTCACGGCCGGGGTGCTGCACCTGGCGCGCGGCGACCGCGTCTCGCTCCGGGACCTGGCGGGCGACCGCTACCGAGTGCTGGACCACCCGGGCCGATCCTTCATCGGGCTGGTGAACCTCAGCGGCTGCAAGCTCAAGCAGGAGCCCGGCAGCGGCAGGGTGACCGCGTGAGCTGCTTAGACACACCACACACCCGAAGGGCTGAAATCATTGGTTCAAGAGGATTCGTAAGGAACAATAAAACTTGGACAAGACTGATTACTTAACTAAACTTACGTCTGCAATCGGGAGAGGGAGTCTCTCCTCTTTGCTGTCACGACAACCGACGGAGAATAGAATATTTCAAGAAATCATGTGGAATGAGGAGACTTTCTCCATGAACACTCTGTGCCAGTCCAAGGCCAGCATTTCGAAGGGTACGGTGACGGCTTTGTTCTCTTTCTAGAAACGACAAGAAAAATAAACAAATTAAAACATATTGTGTGTCTTTTGTGGTCACCCCCAGGCTGCCCCAGGCGTAGGGCGCCTTGTGGCGGCGAGGTAGGCAGTCCCGCTCGTCAGCTGTGCTGTGCAGTACAGGCTACTCACAGGGGCTCCGCCGGGACGCGCAGACAACCGAGGAGGGGTAGTATACTTTCCTTTGACCAGTCAATGTACTCCAGTCACTTGCAGTCATTTTTCCAATAAAATCCAGTCACATCTAATCTTTGGACCCACACTCATTTCCGCGGTGACGGGGTGGTTAGTCGAGTCAAGTATGACGTGCGCCCCTCCCCTTGCACTCACCGCAGAGCACTCGACGTACTCCATCTGCAGGGCTGCGGCCAGTTCCCTGCCCTCGGCGCTGCTGATCGTACGCCTCGCCTCCAGGTCGACCTTGTTGGCCACCAGCACGCCCCGGATAGCGTCGGCGCGCACTGCCGCCTGGGATCGCACCATGTCCGCCCAAGCAGGTACGGAGCGCACCGAGGAAGGGTTCGTCACGTCCAGCACCACAATGAACATGTTCGCGCCATTCCACTGCCATCGTTGAGAGGAGAAAGAGAGAAAGGGGCTGACACTTGTGGACTAATACTCTTTAGGACAAAAAAGCAAGGCGCATACTGGAATCGCAAGTGTGTGAATGTCACACACTTGTAGGTGTGTGAAGCACACTTTGAAAGGGGGGGGGGGTAAGAGTGTGAATTTTATTAAGAAAAAATCACACGTTTACCCCGTTAAGTACGAATGGACATTATTCACACACCTACAAGTGCGCGACATTCACACACTTGCGATTCCAGTGTGCCCTTTCGTACACTTATGGGGTTAAGGTGCGAATTCCCCTTTAAAAATTCACATACTTGGGCCTCCATGTGTACGAATGGCATCCACACACCTACAAGTGTGCGAAATTCACACACTTGCGTTTCCGATGCATCCCTGCTACCACAACGCAACTATACTCCCTAGCACTCATTCAAGAACTTTAAAAAAAGATGTGTCGCCTTACGTATTTTGACAGCAGTTGCTCGTAATAAGGCTGCCCTGAAGAATCGTAGATAAAGAGCTCGACAATGTCGTTTGTGTCTGGTATTGGCACCATTTTAGTAGACAAATCAACTCCGAACGTCTGCGAGTAACAAAATTTTGGGAGGGGGGAGGGGCGGGGGTAATTGGGATTGAATTACGACACGGTGACGATGTATTATGTTTTAATTAAAAATCTCAGAGAGTTACCATTTCGTAATTTTTTGGATAGTCCCTTCCATCACTTAGGAATGATTTTGTCAACGCTGTTTTCCCCACGGCTGCGTCACCTGGGAAATGTGCCCGATCAAATGGTTGTCGTTCACCTATGCTGAATCGAGATGTCTTGCAGTACAACACCGTGCTTACCCACGACTGCTACCTTCGTCCGAATTATGTGCCGCGGCATCGTCAAGTATGATTTCACAGCGGGGAAGGATAGCTCTTCAAGCAACGAACTTTATGAGCTTTGAGTCAGCTTAGTGAGATATCACTGGCTACTGAACCGTAAGTGCACCGAGCACAACTGTTTGGCTAACCAGTTACCCTTGACAACCATCGTCTGCCAACCTTCGGGCGATAATGTCCCTTCACCCAGCCAGTCAAGCATATATAGGGCAATAACAGAAGAACAAAGGTAAGCTGGTAAGCTATATGCGTGAGAGTGTGAATAGACCACCAACACATACATTGTTTTATGTAGAGAGAGGATCAAAGTAATACACCATATTGCCTCCCAACCACATTTTTTTTTAATCTGACATTTACACATTTACAACAGTCACCCAAAATAACTTTTACCTCCAGAATAAAACCAAACAAAATAGTATTGTAATATGCTTAATGATGAAAAATACAATTTACATTGATGAAAAGCAGTACATAAATCAAATTTTAAGGTACTGGTAACAGATCAGATCAATGAAGTTCTTGTCATTTTGTGACTTAAGGACTTAGGTAATCTCAAAACAAACACACAAAAAATTGGAAGTATAAATTACTCTTTCGTAAATCATAGTATTACTATTAGAAAAAAAAAACAACAACAAAAAACAATATGAATGAGTAATGTCCTATTTGGCTGTTCTACTTAATAAAAGAATGTGGTTTCCTTTCCACACTCAGTGTGAAAATCAGGTGTGGCTTGTTACACACACAATGCCAACCACACACAACTAAATTGTCACACTGGGAATGATAACATTGCACAGGCAATGCATTTCCATTAAAATGTGCAGTCTGCTCAATATTCTTATAGGTAACCAAAGAAATTACATTTTGTCCATCTCTATAATAAAACCACAGACATGATAAACATAATACAGAACCTTGAAAAGTAAATTGTTACGTGACACATTCAGACACAATAAAAACTCTTTGGAATATTATGAAATAAGGCTAAGATCACTTTAGAACAGGAAAACAAAGCTTCATTCCATAAACCACTAATAATCCTGTATTCAACAGAAAAGAGGAAGTAAGGAAAATCCAGAGATTTACCCAACAAGAATGTAATTTCAATAGGTATGCCTTAACATCTTGAAATGATATCTAAACTTGTTCATTAATCAAATCTAAAACAGATTCCACCAAAAAATCATTAGATATAGTCGTATAAAAGTCAAAAACCTGCATTACGCAAGTAGAATTTTAAAAGGTGGCTTTGAAAAATCAGTTTTTGTTAAAGCTCAAAATAGACGATGTGAAGCAATTTAAACAAAGTCTTTTGCTCAGGCTCCCACCTACTTAAGAAAGAGTAGGATTTCATTAAGTCCGTCAAAATTTCTGAAAGTATTCAATGAACAATAATATCAGTTTTACGAAAGAAAGCAACAAAACAGACCTTTACATGACAAGAAACAAGGACAAAGTACGGACTTTGTGGAAATTAAATCGGCCTATTACTTTATGTTTAAATAATATATTTTAAATAAAGCTAGTAATGTAATTTGGGGTTAACTTGATTATGAAGAGTAGTTGTAGAAGTACCTAGGATGCAGAATCTTCCGCATCCTCTTTTTCTACCATCTCAAAGTCACGTCCTGTTGTTGATTTCTGACTACTTTCTGATTCACTTTCAGTATCTTTTCCTTCAATGTCGCTTCTGTGTCTAAAAAATAAAAAGATAGAGAAAATAAAATAAATAATATGAAGATATATGACAGACACAGCTAAATATGGTGACATAAATTTGAAAAACATACCTTTCGTCTGTTTTATCAGCATTGTCCTTTTCATCTTCAGCACCAGTTTCTTCTGCCCCTGTGTCTAGACCACGCTTCCCTTCTCCATCATCCTCTGCATCAGAATCCTTTTCTTTCTTCTTCTTATTCTTCTTTTTCTTTGCCTTGTTTTCCTCATAGTCACTTCCTCGATATTCATACTGTAAAATACAGATTAGATTAGTTCAAAAGCTGCAGCACCAAAATATTTTTAAAGGGATGATAATAGATGTTACTGACATGGTAAAGAGGCCAAAATGATGCCAAAAAGCCAACATCTTCCACCAAATTTGGAAGCAGCCAGAAATGGTGTCGGCCAAAAGTAAGTGTCCAGATGATACAGAAGACAATAACACGCAAAATTGCAAGGGCCAAAATAAACACCAACACACCAGCTGCTGCAACACTTAAGTAGTAAACACCCTTCCTGCAAAACATAAAAGTTAGAAATAAGAAAATCTGTTTTAATTTTTCCTTAATAAAAATGTAAACAAAATTATTTCAATTTAAGAAACTATATTAGATACCTCACTGATGGTGGCCATAAAGGAAATACACAAATTCCAATAGCCCCAAGAACTACCAATGTGCCAAACACCCAATAATAAAATGGAATGGGATCGTAGAGCCAGACATATGCATCCAAGCCATCGACAAACATTTGTTCAATGTGCATTTCCAAACGAATTTTACGTTTCTTGCGCTGTTGCTTCTCAACCTGTCAAACAAGTATATATCATAGAAAAAAAACTTTTGAAATAATGAAATATCTAAAAAAATTAAGTGAAAGTATTCTATATGCAAGAACAATCATCATACCGGAGCCAAGCCTTTTTCTTCCTTGCAGCCCTCAGCATGACTACTTTCTGCTTCTTCAATACTCTTCTTTTCCTTTCTTTTGTCCTCTTTATCATCTACCTCGTCTTTCTTTTTCTCCCTCTTTTTTTGCTTTCCCTTGAGTTCTTCTTCAGATACAACAACCTTCTTGGCACGATGAAAGAATTTGTGGCTCAGCATTCTTTAAATGTCAAAGTTTGATTCAAATGAAAAACAATGTAATAAGGATTACACCTGAGGGAACATAGAATTGATAGCAAAACTGCTTACCTCTCCAGAAAATCAACCACATCTTCTCTGCATGCAAAAAATGGTTCCTCCCCTCCCTTCCTTTCTTTAGCCCAGTGAGAATCCATAAGGGCGTCAACTGCCTTCACAGCTAAGAAAACAAAAGGGGGGTGATATGTTATATTATGACACATTTAAACTCCACGGAACATAAATTAAAAATTTATCTTACCAGTAAAATATTCCACACTGTAGTTAAGAAATTTTGTCTTCTTGTTTGGAACATTGTTTCTGAGCCACTTTGCAACGGCATATTCCTCTTTGGATGGCTTTTCTGGCTCAACTTTTGAACCAGGGATCAATTCCTGAAACAGTTTTTTTTACAATTGATTGTTGACCCCCATTTAGCGATTTAACAATGAACATTATGACACAGGTTCTTGTCCAATGGTTATAGCGTGTTTTTGTTTTTTTCCTGCTTATGATGTCGCTAGTTAATTTAAGTTAAGAGTTAAATCTGTGGGTTCAAAAATTTAAATTACAACTGGTTGAAATCACTCACTACAGAGAGGTCATATTATCTATGTTTATGTACCTCAAATTACAATTGAGGTGGATTAAAAGTACTTTTAATAAGTAACAGTAAATATAAAGATAGGTATGTAAAAGAGAGTGATGTGCCGATTTTCAGTTAGAAGACTCACGCGCGCTCATGGTAAAATAATTACACGACTGGCACGATTTTCGTGACACCAACACTGTTCCGCACGGGTCCTTAAATACAAAACTTGTGGTACATATTGAAACTGCCAACGCAGCGTTGGCACTTTCCGAGGACTGCTCTTACTCTCGAGACCCTCAAAAACTTACGAAAACCATCGTAAATAAGCAACGACGCTGAGGAACTCGGATGTCAACGTTGCGTAGGACTTAATTGAGGAATGTAACGGGACCTAAAATTGCTTGCCTGAGTCTGAAACCCGAGGTGAACGTATGAAGTTACCCGAATGGTTTGAGTTGTCGAGAATAGAGTAATGTGAAATTTACTAAAACAGCTAATATATAATTCATTTTAAAATCAATAAGGTGGCACCCAAAAAGCAAAACATTAATTTTTTTGATGGACTCAGCGCAAAAATATTACCTCCTTTCTTTTCTTTAGCTTCCTTTTCTCAGCCATGTTGTCAAAACACAACACTCCTGCCTCAACGCGCTCGCTAAGACCAGACGCCACGAACAAATGACGAAACGTAAATGAAAGGAACATTCGTCATCTTTAGTGGAAGGCGCTGTCTGTGTGGAGGGAATTTTTGAATATGCGACTCCATGGCTGAGCTAAATTGGCTAAATCTTGAGCCGAGATGCAAGATGCCTTTAATTTTTTTGAAGACTTTGTAAAAGTGGTCATTGGTGAAAGAAGAAAGTTAAGAAAAAAAAGTAATCCAATATCCAACATAAGGTGGTGGTCTAATAACTTGCATTTAATTAATAAGTACAACAAAAATATATTTACAAAACAATATTATTAAGTTAAAATTTTAGTTGGTTACACCACAGAAAAATCTGAAAACCATGGTTTGTTGTTTAAACAAGGTCGTCCATAGCACAATTGAAAACAGCACAAGCAGCAGTCAGAAGTCTGAAATTGTCAAAAATGAAAACCTCACTTCCATTGCTACAAGGAGAGTGGTACAAAAAAATTACAAGTTTGAAACAAAATAATATTGATTTCTGAAGTATGTTTTCCAATTGTATTTTAATTTTTCAATTTTTTCATGTACTGTAGTGCTTTGGGAAATATTCGTGGAAAGCAGTGTAAAGTTCAAAGCACTACATTTCTCACATGTGCCACGTACCAATGTTTATCTTTTTATCACAAGTTGAAGTAGCAACTGTTCTAATATATGTTCTAGCTTTTATACAGGAACAATTGTTATAAGTTAGTGTGTTAGCTAGAATATCATCAAAAAGACAATAATGAAACCAAATAACCATAGAGACAAATCAGTAAGACACTTTCTCCTTTGAAACTCCTATTCCTAATACAGGATGGGTGATCCGCGGCATGATGCCGTGCGAGTGTGCAACCCGTCCGCACGCAAGGATCCGGTACAGTACAGCCAGGAAAAAAACAACAGCGCGAATCACCCACTGTGTATGTGAACACCATCACTAATTCCAAAGTCCTTTTGAAATAAAATATTTGATAGTAATCATACATCTTTCTCCAAAATTTAAAATTTTCATAGTTCAAATTAAGTTTATTGCCTGGCAGGAGTGAATTTAAAACACGCACATAGATACAGAAATTAAACAAGTAAGTTAACATGAGGCAATGAACACAAACTTTGTAGCTGAAATTACTGGATTCCAAAGTACAGGTAATTGTTCGCTGCCTATAATGCTGAACTAGGTTAAATAAGAGTTCAAAGTCAGATTTAATTCTACGCATTTCCCATTACAAATCCTTCTTCAAGTCTTTGGCATTAAAAGCGCTTTATATTTAAAAATTAAATTACTGACATGACAGCTCAATAAGCTACAATAAAGATGACACACTCCATTAAAAATTACATGAAGAGAACTTGTGTAAGTCAGACATTTAAGTTTGTGTTGAACAAAAAAACAAAAGATGAGGCATCAGAGTTTGGAATAGAAGTTCCTAACTGCAGCCAACCAGTAGTACATTACATTAATTATGTGAAATTTGGTCAACACTGCCAATGATATGAAGCACACATGGAAGCAATTATCTGAGAAAGTTGTTACTAAATGGAATCAAGTAAAATAAACTTTCAATAAAATAATCAAGAAGTACACGGCTTTCCTCCCTTATTGAAGTATTATAAGAAAAAAAGGGCTTGTAAGACCCATGATCTAAGCTGATAGCCATAATGATTATTCTTGAGCATAGATAGCAGTCACCATTTTGGCAGTTCAGTTCTCTCCACCTGGTCCTTGAGCAAAATGAGGTACAGCTACCTGCATCAGATGTTAGCTTGAATGAAAATTTAAAATTTTAACCAGGTAGAGAAGAACCATGACATACTTGCTGAAGTACCAGAGTTTCAGCAGGAAAACCACATCAAAAAGTCATGACACAGTACTGCACAATGAGATCACATGATAAACAGGACATGCCAAATATCATAAGTCGAGATGTCGCAAAATATATTAAAAAAAGAAACAAATTCAAGAACAATTATAATGTTGCAGATATAATTATACATGCTTCCCCAAGGTTATAACGTATAAGTCATAGGACATAGAATTTAAAGTCCTAAACAAGAGTTCAATGCTTGAAATAAAAATAGAACAAATCACTACATCACTTCCTCTCTTAATATGAGCCAAGATCAATTCTGAATGACAGGTCAATAGCCAACACCATAATACTGAATAAAATGAAGTACAAAGATCCAACTTTGACCTGGATTAAATCATCAAGCCAGCTTCTTTAGAGCATGTAACACAAATTCTTGTGAAAACATATAATACTGGTTTACAGCATGATTTAATAGTGTCAGGTACGTAAGCCCAAAAACAACTGCGAATAGACTACAACAAACAAGTCTTGAAAATATTCGGAACAAATAAACTATACTACACAATGTTAAAATGTGTAATCAGATTCATAAAATAAAAACATTACTAGAAATGCAGAAATATTTCAGTAGCACAATGCAGAGAGAGGTTTCCTACATTGTGTTCAGTAGTTAAGAACATGAGACTCAAGTGTACAAAAAATAATTGAAATGGGGCTGAAGAACTTCAGTCTTGTGAAGATACGCAGTTTTCTTCCAGTGTCAAATAATATATCTTATTCTACAAACATTTTTACTACTGAAAGCAAAGAGTAATTGCAATAAATCATATTTGGTCTTCTTACCGCTAATCATTCAAGAAACGTGAAGTGGAAATAGGCCTATTCTCTAACCTCATAGTTTGAAACAAGTGAAAAAAATATAGATATTTATCATAAATATGTATGTAATTAATTTGGCATAGGACTATATCAGGATCCCTCCATGTGCAAGTGAAATTGACTATTAAACAAGAGGCATGATGATACCTGTAACCTCCTGTCATTAACTAAATACATAAAGGCGCAGAGATATGTTCTAGAGAATACCAATTGCTAAACTCAGCAAATTAAGCATAAATTGATCTAGCAGAAAGATAAGGTTATCATTTTGATTTACTGAAGTTATTCAGAAGAAGCTGAAACAATTCCTTCTTTGAATGGTTAAAGAAAGCACAGAAATGCCAGAAGGGCAAATAAAGCCTTTACAAAAATGCATTAAGGTTTTACTGGCAAAAAAAATAATTTAAAATTAACAGGAAATGTGAAGGGGCCTTGCCAATGGCTGATATTTTAAGTTAAATTTTCACTCACACATTTAGAAGGGCCAACTGTCCAGTTTTACTATCACATTAGACCACACTTCTATACAAGTTCTAGCATGTTCAGCTCAGTCAAAACACATGTGATACCTCAAAGGGTAAAGAAAGCTGCACATATCTAGATGTGAATATACAGTGTCTTCCAAATTATTGCTCATTACATTAAACAAGCATGTTTCAAACCATGAAATTCAGTCAGGTAAATGAGCGTTTGAGATCATGCTCGTAGTGTGCAATCAAAAGCATGATACCAATGCCTGACATCAGTCCCATCAGCTGAAGAAGACATTGACATACAGAACCACCCTCACTTGTATGACTTGTTGACAGTTCAGGAATCTGAAAAACATAAAGAACAAATTAATTAGACAATAAATGTTTTTCATTACGTTTACAATGACAACATCATCAAGCTCACCATATCTACTAAGGCAATGTAAAGAAACATTCCCGCAGCAACAGCAAAAATCCACTGGGATGCAGTTTCAGTATTTCCTAAGACTATACCAAGGCACATTCCAAAAAAGCAAAGCACTGATGACAAAAGGTTGTAGAAAACAGCTTGCTTTGCACTCATGCCTGCTTTCAGAAGAACTGCAAAGTCACCTGAAATTTTTTTAAAAATATATTTCTATAGAAATTTTAAAAAACGAGAAAAAAAACAGCATTTTTATGAAATTGAAAAATGTTACCAAGTTCATGAGGTAATTCATGGCAAAATACAGCAACCGCAGTGCTAAATCCTCCAGCAATATTTGCTGCAAATGCTGCCCCAATAGCCATTCCATCTGTGAAATTGTGGAGACCATCACCCATAATTACCATCCATGCTACACTGGAGAGACTGTTGGGAGCAGAGTGGACATGACCATGTGTGTGAGAATGACCATGGTGGTGGTTCTTGTGTTCCCTAAGTTATAAAAAGAACAGGAAAAAATAAATTATCAACTTGGAGCAGAGAGGCTGTCAAACCCACCACAATACAGTACAGTCAATACAGTCATCATGCAACACAATACTTTTTAATTTGGTGTGAATTACCTGATGATTATGGTATAATCCTTATCACTGGGTTTCAATTCTTTAATTTCACTTTCTAAATCATGACCAGCTGTAACAACCTAGAAAAAGAACATTACAACAATGTAATTTCCACTAAAAACCTTCCATGAAATCTTTGACACACTATTTTTAAAACATTATTAGTATGTACAAAAAAGTATTACCGCATCTCGGTCATTAGTGAGAGCTGGAGTGGAAGTAAGATCTTCTTGTGTATTGTTTAATTGTAGGGATGATGGTCCACCATTTTTATGCAAATTGCCATCTGAATCAATCCACCCAAAATAAATAAGTATGCATGGAGCCAAATAAGGATGCAGGAGTGGTAATAAATTTAAACAAAAAACAAATTTGATTTTTTGTTGTTAATGTACTCTTAAATATATTAGACCCTTTAAATATCTAAGACCAATGCCAAAGTGGTGGGCCTTTTTTTCTTCTTCAAATTAATAGGTAACATACCTTGGAGAGTTTCTTCCTTCGTAATGTCCCCATAGCAGTAAGGATATGAACTGTACTTGTGTTTGCATAACTTTTCACCAACAGTATTGTTGTCTACATCTTCTGTATCCCGCATTACTCGAACTCTTGGAGTAGGTGTCTGAGATTAGAAAAAAAGGACTTCGTGTAAAAAGCATGTAGGTTAAAATTTGACATAGGCCTGTAGCTCATTAGAAAGAAACATTCGAAGAACTAACTCTGCTTTTTCTTTGACGTCTTTTCCTCCATTCAGCACACAAAGTGAGACATTTCTCCATGAGGAAGAAGAACACAACTCCTAATGAAGTTACAAGGCCTTTCCACATGTTGGCTGAGTGGGGGTCATCCCCGTGGTCGTGATCATGTGTATGGGAGAGGCTGCTGCCGTGACTGGCTTCCTCTCCGGTTGCCATCATAGCCTAAAAAGACACCAAAAAAGAAAAACAAACATAGGTTTTCCAGTTTGTAGAGAACAAAACACACTAAAGGGAATAAGAGCTTACATGAGGTAGGAGGTGTAAAAGTGCGTCACCGCACAGTGTACCAACAGCAAGTGCAACAAGAAACTGAAGTAGTTGCTGGTAGTAGGTTTTCTGCATCACGGGAATCACTGCTACACCAAGAAGTCCGCACAAGCTTATCACAATAATACTAAGGGTAGCCCACAGCCAAACATCTAATGTATTTCCTGGTCCTGCAGGAATTGCAGAAGCGACTTGTCTCGACCATGTCGAAGACAGACCACTTGAAATCTCACTTTCCAATATGCACTTGCTAGGTTCCACAAGCTTATACAGAAGTAAGGGACATAAATGTTCATAGTCACCAGTATTGAAAGTAATGTTATCACTGTTATTGGATTTGTGAGTTGTTTTTACAAGATTCTCAATTGGAACACACTAGAACATGTTAAAAAAAAGAGAAACGATGGAGTAAATAAGAAAACACATATAGCATTTTGTTAACGCCCCTTGGATTTTCATTACAGCAGTACTCACTCTAGAAGCAGCTTCACTTTCAGAAGAGTTGTTAAGTGGAACATCAACTGAAATTGAATGGAAATATAGGAAAATGTAACAGATAATTAAGGTAACATGAACCAATACACACTATGAATGAAAATGTTACCATTTGATGGGTGAAATAATTTAGGATCTAGCTGGAGTGCTTTGATTAGCTCTTCAAAACCAGCCATTGTCAGATGTTCTCCATCACCATATTTAGAAAACATTTTCTTAACAAAAACCTGATTTTGAAACAAGAAGGATTACTGCCAAACTTAAGACACACACTAAAAAAGAACCAATCAAACCAATCAACCAACAAGAACCAATCTTACTTTACTATCCCACTCTCCTTCAAATAATGCTTCTCTTCTTTCTGATTCATTGTGTAAATGCACCGTGCCTTTAGAGCCCATTTCCAGGGGTGATGGACTCATGTCATGTTGATGTGCAGAACATGGTGCATGGGCAGCACACAATATACATACTATACACACGGTAACAAGGTGTTGCTTCATTTTTATTGGAGTAGCTTAACAGTTGAACTGCCCATTGAAAACCAAATCTGAAACATAAGGGACATTTGCAAAGATGAAATTCCTCCATTCAAATCTGTTAAATTCACAGGATACAGTTTGATAATTGCACGGCAAGTGAACATTCTAAAAGAAAAGGCCTGAAATTGGTCTGATGTAAGGAAAAAAAAATTCCGGTGACTGCTATAGAAAAGCGAACGGACAAAAGAAAACTGGAAATCATCTACTGAGAAAAACACATCAGAGAAAGTTACTAAAACTGAGATGTTGAATGCAGACTAGAGTTGCTACTCTGTCTCCTCTGTCCTACTTCAGACACCATGGCAAACCCCAATTTTGTGTTAGGGATTAAACAATAATTTCTCTCCACATAATGAGGGTCTCAAATACATCTATCGTATTTGTATACTTTAAGAGAGCTTTTAATAAAGGCACGAGAGGGAAACAGGATGAAAATAATGTGTATGTGTTGACTATACGTCGGAGGCCTATAACCTGTGCACAAAGCTTGCAAAAGCACAAGCTTTGGCAAGAATGCAAGATTTGATTAGTACAGAATATTTTTGGACCAGCAAAGTACATAGTAGCATGTAGCAGTCTAAAATAGGTAGTGCTAAATGCTAAGACTTGATAAAAACACAGATCGCACCTCAAAGTCTCCTTATGCACACGCTGCGTGCCGGAGCAACGAGCAACAAACGACTTTGCCAGGCTTCTGGCTTCTTCGGCTTTCGGCAGCGCACTTCAGGGACCGTGACGTCATGCGGGAGGAGGGTCCCATGTACGAAAGTTGTCCTTGTAAATTTAGTAAACTGGCATCATTTGAAATGTGTTACTTAATGGGCTATGACATGATATGATGCATTGATGGTTCAGTCATGACAACTAACCATACCAGACACATTTTAATCAAATACTTCTACAATACATTTGGTCATAGGGGCTGTAAAAAAAATTGCTCCAGCAGAAGACGCACGCGCATGGATACATTTCCGACATTCCCCAATATTGAGAAAAACTGCCCAGAAACCGAACGACAGCAAGTGAAACCAACATATTTTCCGATTTTTTCTTCTTTTTGAATTAAATAGGTCAAACTAGACGATGTTTCGGTGTCTTCGGTAGAGCTTTGGAGACGATAGCTCTACTTTTTTAATTTATGAGTAATACCAGTTTGTTCACAATAACACACATCATAAAATCATTAACGTACTAGTTTAATTTGTAGCAGGAAGACTTCAGACTCCACCCTCTGGTAAAACGACAATACCAAAGTAGAATCAGATCTTGTTCATTCCCTAAAAATGTGTCTTACTTCAATTTCTTGAGGGATAGGAGAAGATTTTGGCGCTGAGGGTTGGTGCTCCAAGAAGTAGTTCTGCTAGCAGCCATTCTCGTTCGTTAGCAAACTTTACTAGCAACTTGCCATCTCGCTTGTATCGTATGCCAAATCCATTGAATATGTAGACTTCTGTGACTAATATTTAGTGTAATGGTTTTCAATACCAATTTGTTATGGTGTTTTTCTGTGGATTCGTGCCCTCCTTAGCCTGGCCTCGATATCTTCGCAGCTCAGGCAAGTTGTCTGCTGATATTCTTGACTGTTCTTGTCCCTAGGTTAATTAATGGGGAAAGGGCCTTTGTTCCCGGTACCATCTGTCAAAGTGATATTCTTGGTGTTTTGAATAGTTTCTCGCACTCTTGAAGATATACATCTGGTTAAAGTCATCACGAAATTCATATTAGTGTTGATACTTTTCATTCCATGAACAGTGCTGCTGTGACAGACACTTCTCATGCCTAGGCTAGCCTAGAGTGAACTACTGTTGGAAAATTGATGTGTATCATGGAAGAAACGATGAATCTCATTTTGATGTACTTATTTTTATTGTTTTGATAGTAACAGTAGGAGTGTTTCAAGTTGGTTAGGACTACCCTTCTCATTCGTTAACCAGTGCTCATAACAATGAGTTTTGTTCCAAAATGTTTATACTATGATTAACTTTTCTGACAGGTCCAAGAAAGTAGCACATTTCCTTATAATGCGTGGTATGTTGAAGTTGTCAACGTCGAAACCATTGGCTCTTCTTGCGAAGCTGGGCATGCCCAATTGCGCAGAGAATTGCTCTGGTCATGGAGAGTGCCACAATGGCACTTGTGTGTGTGAAGTAGGTCTCTTGTTATTGAGCTGAAATATTTTGATTACTTTCCTGTTCTACATACCTACTTATTATTTTTGCAGATTCAATTTGAAGGAGATGAATGTCATACTTTAAACTTTTCTTACTTTGCTGCGTTTGCATCAGCTTTCTTTTTCCTGGCTCTGGTATGCCTAGTACAATTGGTAACATGTATTGTGGCAGAATGGCAGCGCATGAAGGCACCATCATTGTTACGAGCATGCAGGCTTACAACTCAAAAAGTTTTATACTTTGTAGTTTTTCTTGCTGCCATGATCAGGGGTGCTTACTTTACTGCACCGGTAAGTTTCTTTTTTTGCATATTTATAATTGCAAATTAATTCAAGTAAGAGTATCCTTTTGGACTACAATTAGTTTGTTCCTACTGAAATAATGTTTTTACTGTTTTTTAAATAATTTCTTGCTCTAGACTGCAATGCTGGAAGGATGGTCCAGCAGTCTGCTTAGTGCATATTATCCCCTTCTGCTGACCGGCGCTTCACTGATTGTTTGTTTTTGGGCAGAGGTATATATACAGTATTATTGTTTTTATTATTAATCCTAGCAAGGGAATTATCTGTCAGATCTTTTTTCATGTTATCTTTAACATTAATGACTTATTATGATTTCCAGGTGTTTCATCTGCGTGATATTCGCTGGGAAAAGCCACAATTTCTATCAAAGTCATATTTGGCTTTTGTGACTTTCAACATCATAACATATTCCTTACTTTTGGCAGAATTCATTACAACTCAAATGTCTGACACAAATATGGCCAAAAAAAGTTTCTATTCTCACATATTTAATGGCTGCTATGCTGTTCTGTTGTTTATTGTTGTGATCTTTTTCCTCATATATGGTGTTGAAGTCTTTTTCAAGGTGAGTATGCAATATAGGACGGAATGCATTCGTTTATGATTTATGCTCTCACCACTCACCACATCCACCACATCACCTGTGGTCGGATAACTGGGTCTCATGGTTATATTCATCAATCCCTCTTGGTAACACTTTCTAGGTTCGGGGTGGTTTCCTGTATGAGCATCAAACTAAAGTCACTAGCATTGCTACTAGTAGTAGGACACCTTCTGGGAGCAAAGCTCAAGAAAAGACTCAAAATGGAGAGGGTGAGGAGGATCCGGCACTTCCCTCCAGTGGACAGGTATGTCACGTAAATTCTCCTTCCTATCTAACTAATAAATCTGTTCGCTCAAATTTGTTTCTGAAATTTTAATTAATTATAGACCAGCAAATTGAGATCAATATCCGACACAGTTGACACATCTCAGCTGCATCAATCAAGATTTGGCTTGGTTTCTCAAGCATTTATGCTCATCACAATTGTGGGATTCCTGTTCAGTGAAACTCTGAGCGAATTTTGGAAATGGAAGTAAGTTTTTTCTCACCCTTTATGATTCTTGCATTTTTTTTTATTATTGTTTCTAATGCACTCTTTATTTGCAGAGTACCCCTTTACTCACGAAATTGGCATGATCTGGTTTTTCGTGTTGTTGAAATTGGTGTTGTTCTCTGGTTTCCCTGTGTTTTATGGAATTGTATGAGGTGTGTTCTTGTTAACAATGATAGTGATTTTTTTCTTCTATCTATCTATTCTACCTATCTTATATCTTATTTTATTCATGATATTTTCAACTACTCTTTTAGCCCGGAACAACTGTGGATTTTGAACCCGAAAAGAATTTTGAAAAAGTATGAGGTTGATGTGAAGCACAGAGTTATACCCAAAGATGACACTGCTGAGAGAGATACTGCAGATTCTGGTTAGTAGCTGTCAGAGAATCATTTAATGACGTAGCACATCATAATTGATTTGTAAATGAATTTTACACATTGTAAAATTATTTCAGATGAGACCTCATCACTATCGAAAGATTGCTGGATATGTTATGACAGTGAACGCACTGATGCTGGACCTTTAATTCAACCCTGTCAGTGCAGAGGAGATGTCAGCTCTGCTCATCATGATTGTTTGAGACGTTGGCTTGTTGAAAGCTCAGTCAATCCTGACAGTATGCGGTGCAAAGTTTGTGGGGTTTCATACCAAGTGGAACGAAGTGCAAAACTTGATTGGCAACAAGGTTTCACATCACAACAGATTGTTACCACAACATCGCTTGTCACAATAATGTGCCTGTCTGCAGCAGGAGCATGGGTTGTCATACAACTTTATGAAGATTCATATATTCGAATGCTAGCTGTTGGCATGGCTGCCCTTGTTGAATACCTGTGCATAAGGTAAGTGATCTAATATTTCTTGACCCAAAGATCTAATATTTAATTTTCTTCCCACCCTCTCCATTTATACTGCTTTTTACTCAAGTGAATTTTATTTCTTTAAAATGCTCAGGAGTTTGCTGATATTCTAATCTTTATTCTTTCAGATTTTTAAGCATGCATACAGTTGTAGCGTACCAACGAGCAAAGGTGTCGGCTCTCAACATAATGGGATCTGGTCAACTCAGCACTATTAGCCAAACTATCGTCTCTGTAGAGAAACCTCCCAGTACTGCTATATAGGTAATGGGATAGTTTTTCAAAATATTTTTGTACTTTTTGTCAAGATTTGCTTTTGTAATTTTTTCCCTCTTTTCAAACGGTGTCAAGTTTTATTTCAAGACAACTTTCTTTTAGTGTCTGATTTTGTGTTTCATTGAATTAGTGCATAGAAAGTAAATATGTATGATGGTCATTCCTCAATTGGGAAGATCTACCATATTCAAAATACGGTATGCACTTCAAGTGTGGAGGGAGAATAGAAGTATAATTGCATCAAACAGATGAATTGTTTGGCATTTTCTTCTCTATTTCTTTGTTATTTTTTATCAAGTGTGGAACAATCTTTTTTAGAGCTATGAGGAATTGAAACATTGTTATGTTTGCTTTTAATTTTTAATTTTCTAGTCATTATTAAAATGCAATGATGCATGTATTTGCTGAGTGCCTTAAAATTCAAGAACTGAAAGTAAGAAGGGTTTGTTCATTACCCAATTCCAAATTCTTCTTCTTTAAAGTGCTAAATTCCTTCTTTTTCTGTTGTTTTTTTAATTTTGTTTTGTTTCGTTCTAAGACTCTCCCATATCCCTATTCCATAATTAGCAATACTCGTTCAAAATCACATGCAATTGACGACTGAATTAATCTTAAATTTGTTGCACACACTCAGGTGCTTTCAGGCTAATCCAGTAGGCATTTGTCAGAGACCAGCAGGGCAGCCTGACTTGGTTGGCTATTGCAATTATGTGCCCGTATACCATTGTTAGAGGAAGATGTAATTGGTTGTAGTCATCTGCTTTGTCAACGTCTGCGCTCCTGCTGTTGATTCTTTGCTTTCATAGTTTACTTTGTTGACCTAATCCAAACCTATGTAGTTCCAAGAATTTGTATCTATGTATCTACTATCAAATACTCAACTATGTTTTCATTATTCCAGCATAGACAAGTTTTAACTTAGCAAATTGGTAGTAGAAATTAATCTTAAAATCTAATACCATTATGTTAAGGGTATCTACCTAGTTTTCTACAAGACGAGTTAACAGACCCATGTTTATACTATTTCCATTACATTTGCCTGTACAGTACTAACTATGTAGTGTCACTGATGTATGCAGGGATTTTGTGGTATCGTGCATGCACAGTTACATAACTTATAGGATTATAGGGCAGGATTAGTATTTGATTCATAATGAGCACAGTACTCAGCCCTTCTCTGAATTGAAAGATCTTTTTCATTTTTTGTCAACCCTCTGTCATTTATCTCACATTTCTGCTTTTTAGTTATATAGGTGCTACTAACATGGTTATGTTCTCATTCATTATTCAAGCTGTTCTTTTGTTTTTATTTACTTGTTCCATTAATGGGGCTGTTCCCGCAAATTTCTAACCGGCTGACCATGTTAATGCAATTTTCTTTAATCCCATTTCATTGGTTACATTATCAGTTGCATTCATTGACAACACAGCATGCCATTCTAGCTTTTCACTTTATCATTATTCATGTAATTGATTGCCAAAAAGGAAGAGTTGTTTTTTTTGTAAGTATGAGATATTTTTTATGTATTGTAAGGTGGTAGTTTCTCAGATATCCCTTTTCTTCTTAGAACAGATATCTACTATGTACACTCAGAGTAGTAAGAATGTATTTCTTCAATACTTCTGTTGTAGGAAACCTGTGATAAGAACCAATTCATATATCCCCAGTATGGTTGTTTTCTCCTTTCGTGATGTTACTTAAAGTGTAAGTGTTATTGTAAGTTAGAGATGGGCAAAATTTAAAGTTTTAGTTTACTTCTAAATAGAAATCTGGCATCACTTTGATTTTTTTTTGATTTTTTAAAAAAAAGCTCACCGGGCCCTTATTTTTTTCTTTAAAGTGTGTTTTTCACATCCCTTTTAACTCTACATAAAATTTGTTCTACTTGTATTCTCATAGGCATCTAGAGCCTGATTAGTTAAGTGTTTCAAACCTTTGTGCTTGTAGAATTCCTAAAGATGCAAGTGGGAAAGGAATTTTATGAAAATATTCTTATGTATGCATACATAAACAGTACAATACAATAAATATTAATTGACTTCATTTGATTCATCTATTTGAACTAGCTGTTGACACGCATGTACATGATTCTCCTGATGTCCTCATAACAAATCAGACCAAGCATAAGCATAATAAATGCAAAGAAAGCACAACACGCAAACAGAGTCGTCAATTTAATTGAGAGTACACTTAATAGCCAGGTACATAGAAATTGAAGTGCTCAGAAACCTTGGGACACTAAGGTGTAAGGTGGCAAAACATAAGTTTGTATAACAATTGCTTTATATCTTTAACAAATGCTTGGTAAACTGATGAACAGAATGTCTGGTATAAGCTTTGAATGAACTGAGGAAGTTTGTGAATAGAAATTTCTGCCTTGGAGATATTGTTTATTTGAACATAAAACATGTACCAACCAAACATGAAAGGATAACAAAAGAACAGTCTGTTCAAAATTGCCATACTATACCAATCCCTAATCCAGGCCAAGTAACATGGCACCAAGAACCAAATTTGATAAATCAATACATTACACATAAATATAGAACAATGTGTGTACATGGTGTGTACTTGGGAAAGTTATAGAAAAGGCAGGGACTAAATGCTTTCTGAAGGCTCGAACTACAACAATAAGCCCCTTCTGTAAGACACCTCAAACTATATTTAAGGTAACACAATTATTCACCTTTCACACAGTTCGTGCAGCATAGCATTATAATGTAATACTGTAATAAACTTGAAAAATAATTAAAAGAGGATCACAGAGTTCAGACTCAGTAAGATTTGTGTCTTGGTGAACATAAAGCACATTATATACCATACATGCCTTTACAAAAAAAAAAAATTTAAAAAAAATCAATCTGCACACTTAGTTTATTCTAAACATAACCTGAATCAGTTTAGCACATAATTTAAAATAAGACCATTTGACCATTATCATAAAATGGATCAACACCACCTTTTAACAAAGATGCATCTACACACAAATAATCACAGTTCAATTGTAAAACCAAATTACAACTTTTACTAGAGCTCCCACATGAGTCTGCCATTTAACCTAAAGCAAAAGTACCAAGAAATCATAGCTCAACAGGACAAGCCATATCTACTTCACAATAAAACTGTGTTTGTTTTGAACTATCTTGCACAGTTGGTGAAGAGCTTCGATGAGAGACATCATCACCACATTCTCGGTCCTTGCCTATTAAAAGAAGTAAATCTAAGAAAAATGTCTGAAAATCAAGAAAATAGCTACTGAATACTGATGCCGATACCAATTTGAATTTGCCATTCTTACCTGGTTTTACATCCTGAAGATCACTTGTAAGACTCATAGTGCTAGTGCCACTAGTAGCACTACTGGGTGCGCATGTTTGAGGCGGACTGCCACTTAGACTTGAGTTGCTTCCCATTTGAGTTGAAGATATGAGTGATGCCATCTGGGGAGCATAAAGTAACAATGCTTGACTAAAGTATTACAAAGCACTTATGGTATATTTATTGTATAGGTTTGAATTTTCATACCTTCTGAGTTAAGTTTTCTAAACTGGCAGATTGTGAGCATCCTTGAAGAGATGGGGAAGTAGACTGACTTTTTATTGAATAATCATTTGGCAGGTTTTCAGAGCCACGGGAGCTGAAAGTGAAACATCACTTTAAAAAATGAAAGGTATATTGCCCTAGCACTTAACTGTTTTCAAAACCTGAAATCTCATGCAAAATCTTAGTGCAGTGGCTATATTATACAGACCCAGACCGGTTGGCAGGTGCATTTGAAGTACTCTTTTGCAAAGTGGGCCTTAGAACAAGTTCTGGGCCTCCCCCATAAGTACCATGGAAAAATTCCCACATTTCCTCTGACAGTTGAGCATAGTCAGAGCCTGCAAGGGATCAGAAATTTCTTTTCAAATATTTCTATGCTGGATATCTGGGGGACCATTTCAAACAGATTACCTTGTTTACCTTGTTTTAGATGTATCTGGCCAGTCTTGCTGTTTGTGTAAATTATGGGGGTATTATCAATCGGTCCAGGAGGTTCACAGTCCTTTTCACGAACAAAGCTGTGCCATTGCCTAAACCATTGCATTGAAATAAGATAAATGTTTGATGTTGATTCTTCCTGTAGTATAATGGAAACAAAGGAATGACAGAGGTAATTAGATATTCATACTCAAAATTTAAACAGTGATAACAGCAATAGGGCAACAGGAATTTATTATCCAAAACAATTAACTATACCAGGAATTGCTTGTTGAGCTGCATAAATACAGCTAGTTCACGTCTGACACGTAGTTGTAGATCAGCCTGCTCTTGCTCACAAGTTGCACATGTAAAAAGGCGATTGCACGCTGGCCCTCCTCCATACCTGATTTTAAAATTTAAAATTATTCAATTTTTAATTCACTTTGTCATGGAAGTTTTGGGAAAATTAACTAACTGCAAGTAAGAGAGCTTACATATTGTACAAGCATTCCCAAACAGCATGACTGACAGTAGTATACATGAGGGGCAGAACATTGACACGATCAGGACGTACACCACCATGATGACACAGGAAATCAGAATTGTCAATAGGCCCAGGTTCTGCAAATGTGTTTAATTTATTGAGCCACTGCTTGGATATATAAAATGTCATCAAGGAGGGTTCATTATTAGATCTCTCTAGGAGCTCAACAGCTTGGGCTCTAAATCTTTTAACTTGGTCACATGACTTCCTAAAATTGGGAGAAAATAAATGGTTATTCATCAATGCTAATGGGAACACTGTCAAATTAAATAATATGAATGTTACAAACCTGTAAAATAAAACATAAGCTTCACAGTTTTGAACAGTTTCAGGTGAAACCTGAGTAACATACTGATCATCAAATTCAAACCACTGCTGACTTTGACAGTTGAGAGCGTAGCATGTATAATGACCACCTCCAGCTGTTCCATGGTGACAGATCACAGACACAAGATCGTATGATGAAACTGAAGATGTACAATCTGGGAAAAATAAAACCCATTACTTAGCAAACATTTTTACTCATAAATAGAATTTATAGAGTTGGTAAGGTACAATCAGCCTGAGACACATGAATTCATACCTTTGTGAAGATACGGTCTCATATCAAGTTGAGTGAGAGGGAAAGATACATAGTTGCTTATCTTGGAAGAAGACATAAGTTCATGACGAAATCGTTTTAGGTGAATGCACAATATTTCTGGCAGTTCCATTACTTTAGAGTACTTTACACCATTTCGCAGTTTATTACACTTTTCACAGCTATTGGGAAACAATTCAAACACCAGAACCATTAACTTGCATCTCAAAATAATCAATGCCAAAATATACTGCTTTTCTACCTCCTACCTGTACATATTATCTCCCTTCAGCTCATCAGCACTAAAGAAGGCTCCGAGACAATCATGTAGAGAAACAGTTGGACCCCAAAACCATGATCGAAGCCAATCCACCACCCAATGTAACCAGTTTTGATCTCCAACATATACATCAGAGCAGGTGGACAAAGCACTACCACCTTTGTGTAACATGTGGATATGGTCTCTGGATGGAATTGGCAAAGACAAATCTTGGAATGTTTCAATGCGGTTTGATATCTGAGAAAATATGTTGCAGTATTGTATTAATTATATACAAGGCATTTCTTTTTACAAGAGTACGAAACAGATAATACCAAAAATGGACTTACTCTGTCACAGGTAAGACATTGCACAGAGCTGAGAAGTTTGCCATCAAAAACATCAGAAATTATGCTACGATGTTTAGTATAATGTTTCTTGCGGTTCCCATGAATTGGTGCAATTTTGGATCGCATTCTATCCAGAGGTGGAGATGGAGAACGAGAAACTCTAAACATCACCAAAATAGTAAGAATTCAACGTAAAACAAATGCTCAAATGCAAATGCTTATTTAAGTAAAAGCGACATATAGAAAACAATGTACCTTGTCAGTTTACTGCCACTGTTACGCCGCTCTAAACATTCATCACTCAGTGAACTACGCTCACTTACTCCTGAATCACATGTCTCGTACTCCCCTTCAGACTGACTGGATGCACCGCCACAGCTCCCTTCATGTTGGCCAAAATCCTTTTTTTCAGAATCATCATCATCAGACAAATCCTCAAAGGATGCAGCCCGACCACTTTCTAAACATAAAATTATTAAGATTCCAATTAGAAATTTAGGTATGAGACTTAAATCTGTGCCATAAAACCAATGACACTACGCCATTTTATGCAGTTCCAAATCTAACAAAGTGTGTTAAATGGAACAGAAAGGAGATGAGAAAACCCATAAGTGTATATTATAACAACATTCACTTGCCTTGCAGGAGAGCAGCAGGAGTTGGGGGATGGCTCACAGGTTCTTTTAGTTCTTCATGTAATTGGTCCATAAAGCAACGCAAAAATTCTTGAGTGTCATGCTGCTGATATCCTCGGAACATTGGATGCACCTTATATAACAATGTGAAGAGCATTAGGAAATATGAATGAGAGTAAATGTTATTGTTTGGGTTTGTTAACTGGTATGCTGACTCACATTTCGAATACCATACAAGATAGAAGTAGGAACAACATATCCTGGTCTTTTTTTATGCCACATTTCTTGAATGAGCCGATGGTAACTCCGAGAAAGACCCGGTTTACGGTCTCCACCACGCGATGTGATCAGAGCATTTCCATATTCCAAGAAAAATTGGGTAAGTGGTGGAGAATTTGACAGGGCTTGTATAGCAGAATTCATGTAGCACGTGTTTCCAATATTTTGGAGACCAGTAAGACCTGAAAAGATTAATGAAATTTGATCTTTGTAATTGAGTCAAGTCAGATAACTAGGCTACAAATTTTCTACAAAATACATTACGATTAAAAATCAATAAATTGTTGTTTATGTTACAGGATAGTCCGATCGTCAGGAAATTCAAACTTTTCTTGACCACCAGACTTAGCCTGTAACATAGACAAAAAGACATGGACATGTATGTACCTCGAGGCTTGGTTTCATCTTCTCTTAAATTTTCATCTGAATCGCTGGAATCACTTAGTTCTACAGCCTGTTCCATGAATACCTCTGCTTCACACAAATAACACCAGACACGCAGAGTAGATAAATTAAGGTGAACACAGTGACTTCTCAGCAGCTATTAAACAGAGAAGAGGAACAATTGCTTTTCTCAGAAGGATTTCAATCTAATAAATGACAGTCTCATGCATGTTAACCATTATTATCGTACCTTGTTATGGAGAGTGCTGTGATCTCCATGAGCCTCCCCACACCCTACTTTGAAACAGTCTCTGTGCAGACATATCCACAGGTTTGGACCTTGAGAACCGCATTCCTTGCAAGTTGATACCTCTTTTGCTCTTTCTATTTCAGCTTGAGCATTGCGAGGTATGTTTGAGACATGAGGGCAGTCCACAGTTCTAGTAGACATTTCTTACGCTAGAAACAGAGAGGAGACATTTATAAAAATATTTTTAAGAGCAGAAATTGAAGCAGGAAAAATTTGAAATATGAAAGTATGATCATTGAATATTTACCACAATTTTTGGGGTCTTATTATAAATCACATTGTTTTCAGTAAAATCATGGAAGAAAAGTGACATCTAGCCGCTTGTGGATTACAAATCAAATCATGACATAGAAACCCGACTATTTGCAAACATCACAGGGAATTTATTTAATTTAAAAAGTAGTGTCGAAAGAAATTTTTGAATACAAACGAGACAATGGAAAAAGTGTTCAAGATTAGATCAAATTAAGACAAATGCTAATGTCATCCGTGTTGCCAAGCCCCTTGTTCAACTATACACAAAAGATGCGCACATAAATCACAAAGAATTAAATTCCTCATAGAAAGCTGATGTTGACAAATAGCTTTGAATTTGTAAACGAGAGGTTTCGGTCATTCAGAAACACTAATACAATTGCCTGCCTTGTACCTTAACCTTAACACACGTCCTATAAAACGATTACACCTGATAAACAAAACAACAATAACACAAGCTATACTTGCAAGTTTACCTTGCTATGAGAGTTGTTACAGGTGTATGAAGGAATGGATAAGCATTATGGTAAAAAATTCACATTTTGACAAGGATATTGGGATCAAACAATAGTCGTCAACTGATAGCAGACCAACAATCCTGCGCAATTTCGATTATTTTCGAGTATACGCAAGTCACTGCATCTCGAAATCTATAGTCGACCCTATTGTTTGAAAGCGGGAAATTTAAAATCAGGATGTGTAATTCTCGTTGTAATTTCAAATTTATGATAGAAAAGAAGTTTTTGTTAGAATCAGAGGCAAGACAGACAAAAATTAAGAGAGCACAACCTTCCTTCCCATGCCTTTCATGCCCTTTTCTCCACATTCTCAAAACTCCAAGGCAACCACCGACGCTCATTTTTTTTCTCCCTCGTGGCTGTCTTCTTATAGTGTAACTCTGCCGTGTGGTCTGTTTGAATTGAGCCCGCTTCGTACGAGATGCCTGCCATGAAAATGAAAACACCTATGTCGATTGTTTTGATGTAGAGAATGTCCGTCAATATTACCGCAAATAGCTGTCCATGAGCGAACGTGAGTTCACGTAAAACGTTAAATTCTTCTTTATTGGTGGTACTCGATCCGGCGATGGGCCCTTTTTAGAGATCAGAACTGAGCTCATGGGGTCTGCCGGCGGGGGCGGGAGCGCTTCGCGGCACGACTATTAAATGTATTTCCCACGTTTCTGAATAGATTCTTATAATTTTCACATACTGAGTGAGTTTATTCTATGAAATCTTACACAACACCAGTCGGTGCTATAACTTGTGTCAACTGTAATCATTGACTCATCAAGTCAAGTCATGAAGATGTGTCTAGACATTTGCTGTTGCTATCATAATTTCATTATTAGTTCAGGGATCAAACCTCTGTAGTCATGCATTTTTGTTGTTGTGGAAAGCTCGTAGTTTAACTGTTTAAATACTGCCATGAAAATCGCTATCTGTTGTGCATTTGCATATAAAGTGTATTTTACACTACCTGCTTAACCTTAGTTTTGACATAACCTTTTTTTTTTGTTAATTGTTTATCTTACTGTTGCCTGTCTCAATTCCAGTTTTTTTATTTTATCGCTAATTTGGATAATGCCTGTTGAAATGGCGAAAAATCAAGATGATTCAAGTGCCTCAGAATACTCAGATAGTCTTGCAATGGACTACTGGTCAGAGGGGCTTAGTGAAGCTCAGAAGGCATATTACTCCAAGGCCAAAAAGGAATATAATGATATCATGGCAAGAATAAATGATTTTATCAACAAGGAGAATGGGACTGTTGTTGAAAGAGGGTCTGATGTCATGGTCCTTCAGGGCTCAACAGGGTAAGAGCATCGAACCTTTGCTAATGTTTTAATACTCTGATTGAGTCTCCTTGAACTCATACTTAAGAAGTCCATTTCTGTTTTAGGAATGCTGCAGCATCAGTGCTCAACAATCTAGTCACCCCAGTCACTCAAGCTTTTTCAAACTTTCATCCAAAAGGCCGTGTTGTGGCACTTCAGCCACAAGCTCCCCCTCCTCTACAAGCTGTTTCAAGTCAACAACTTGTCATACAGGCAATGACACGACAAATTTTCTGTTTTTTGATTTTTTAAAATCATGTTTTGGTTAATTTTAGAAACATTCAATTACTAAATTTTTTTAAATGTCTAATTTGAGAATTTTTACATTTTTTAGAGTGGCTCTGTGCCTGCTGGAGCAAGAGTTACAGCAAGAACAGGTCCTCCAGGAACTTTCCAAGCAGCAAACCCAGGAACTGTCCACCTTGTTTCCTTGGATTCCAGGCATGGTAACATGTTATTTGTGCAGGCTCCAGGTATTGGTAAGAGGGGAAATTCTACTAGCTGTCCAGTGATTGATTTCACACACTATATTTACCAACTTTATGATTTCAGGAAATCAACTTGTTCAGCCGCCTGTGCCCCAGCCTCCCGTAAGTATTTCTGTCAAACACATACTATGGGTTTCAACCCATTTCCTGCAAATATAATGGTTTTTAATTTTAAAAAATGGTATCTGATACTCTTGGTAATTGTCAGATTTTTTCAACTGGTTGAATTATTTGTTTGATCAAAGTGTACTAAGTCTAGGATTTCGTACATATCCTATGTTTTGTGATATAAACGTCACAAGCAATCTAGCAGCTGTACTATTAAAATGACAATGGAAATTAGTGGTCTGAAAATTTCTTGAGCTTTGCCAGAGGTCTTACTGTTTTCTTTTTTCAACAGCTAACAGCACCAGTATCAGTTCCATCTATACAGACTGTTCAGGCTCCACCATCCACTACAGGTCCACCTGCACTTTCTAATTGGGCACGTGCACCTGCTCGCACCTACCTTAAAAGCTCTGCTCCCACAACAACTGTTACAACACCCTCAGCTCAGGCTACAGGACTAGTGTCCTCAGCCTCAAGCTGTATGTAAAGATTCTTAAATTTAATCAGTGCCCTCTCGTCTACATTTTAATAATCCTAATGAATTTGTTCCAGCATCAAACGCTACCAGCAGTAAAGTGTCAAAACCATCAAAGAATAAACCTTCAACCTCTGCAGTCATAAACCCACCCACCCCAAATACTATCCCTCAAAACAGTCTCAAACCCACTGAAAATAATTCTGTTGGAGGCTTATCAGCAGGAAATCCAAATAGAAAAATTATGCAAGGCAAGTAAATTAAGTTATTCACAGTTATTACAGTTATTTTTTTTTATTATTTTAACTTTGTACAACAAAATTTCAAAAATTTCAGATGAAGTTAAAAACATGGCGTCTGGTCCAGATTCCAAGGAAGTTACGTTTAATAAAGTATCTGGTAAGACTTTCCCATCTCTTGTTGTTTTGGCCCGCCCACATCTAAGGGTTAGAGATATGACTCAAGCAAAGACAAACCAGGAACGGGCATTATTAGGTAAGAAGGAGCTCACAGAGGTTATTCTTTGCTAATTGTTTAATGCAACTTTCTAATTTAAGTTTTTAAATTCAGACGCCAAAGTTAAATCTGTTTTAATGTACTCTGCAACTAAATTCAGTGAGTGGTTAATCCAAAATGGGTTGGTCAGAGGAGACCAGTTTTGCACAATGCATTCTGGCACAGAGGGCCCATTAAAGTTAAAATTGGGAATGTATTCTGATGTTGCTAAATTCCCTTTCAGTGGAGGGTATGTGTGGGTCAGTGAGTGTTGCCCTCAAATATTTGTGTCGGTAAGTGATGTGGAAGTACTGCACTTTAAATATTTCAGTCTATAAAACTCACCTCCTTTTTTCTTCTCTTTTTGTGGGTGCTTGAAATATTTTTTCATTATTTTTATTTGTTAGGTGTTTAGTGGTTCTATATTCGAAGGAGCACCACATCCCCCTGCGATTCTTTTGAAGTTGATGTACCATTGGTGCTGCCAAACAAATGTTCAAAATGTGATCCAATGGGTAAAAGTTGACAACTTTTATGTCAAAAACTTTTTTACCCATATGCGCAGTGTTTGTATTGCTGCTGTGCATGAAAAATATGAAAAACTTGGAGGCCCAACTAAGAAAGTTGAGGTAGGGATTTATGTGATACTTCAGTATTGATTAATTGACAGTAAACCTTTAATATATTTCTATTAGCTGAAGTCTGTGGAAAGTTGACCATCTAGTCCTGCCACGGTTATTAAAATAAAAAATCTTTTCGTCTTCCTACAGGTGGGCGTGATAAGCCTGGGAACAACATCACAAGATGGTAATATGAGACAGGTAAAAGTTGAAGTGTTAGGTGTAATGGACGCTGAAAGTAAATTGATCAGATTAAGAGCTGTAGAGCCTTTTCAGGTACAAACCCAGTTGCTAAATCTTAAATTTCTTAGTTTTTTCATCAACCTATCTAACTTATTAATTTTCATTATTCTAGGATGGAGAACGCAATTATAAACGCCGCTTTGTTAAAATTCTTGAACCTCTAAGAGAGTGGGTTCATCCAGAAAGCATAATACTGACTGATTTTACTGTAGACAAAGGTACACTTCTTGATATGGGTTTCAAACAAGTTCATCAATCAACCATTCCTGAGCCACCATCATCATCATCCAACAGATTGAGTAATCAGAATGTGATGGAATATTTAAGAAGAATTGTGCCGCGCATGTTTCAGGTAGTAATAGTTTTTCTCACTACCATCTGGTTTTGCTCCCTCTTCTTGTATATTTTACAAAAATGAAGTTTATTTGTATTTCAGAACACACTGTCCTTATTATCTCGTCAAATCATTCAACAATTTTTGGATGAACTTGTTTGGCGTGAGCGATGGGGACCAGTCCCATCAATGGCATTTGACACGCTGGTTTCACACCTTGCTGCTCAATCAAAACTTGACTCAGGTAATTTTATCATAAGTTATTCTCTTAACTTTGTTATTAAATTTACTTATGTATTATTATACTTTAACACTAACTTTCTGTTGTAGGTGAAAGATTGATCATTAAACTAGGAAAAATTGCTGGAAATCCTTTCCGTTGCTGGAAATATGACCATTGGAAAACTGATGGTATTGATCCCTCACCTAATGATACAGTCCCACCTACCACTCAAACAGTAGCTTCTATTGTGAGTGCCAGTTCTTTTCTTTCTTCATACTTATTTTTGATCTAAATTGATAAACATATTTAACATATTCTATCTTTTGCGCTTTTATTACTTCTGCTGTTTTCTTTTTCAGAACCATGACCCAGGAGTTTTATTAGATGATACTGCATGCTCTACTATTGCTTGTACCCAACAGTTTGTGTTTGCCCTAGATGAGGACACAGAAAAAAGAGTAGAAGATGCTTTAAAATTAATTGATGATGATGCAAGCATTAGAAAAGCCATTCAAACTTTCAAAGTGCCGAGGTCTGTTGTTTTGGGTAGAGTAAAAGAAATTCTAAAACCCAAACAAACAGAGCCAGGACCAGGCCAACCTGTTTTTACAGATGACGAAGAAGAAGATATTAAGGACCATTTAATGACTCTGTATGATTGGGGATATCCGTTTGGCCGATGGGATATTCGCCTTGTTGTGAAGCAGTACTTAGATACATGCGGACGCACAGAACTCAGATTCAAAGACAACTTCCCACCTGATATGTGGATTGAGAGATATTTGTCACGTCATCCAATCATTAGACATAGACTTTGTCAGAACCTACCTTCGAGAGCTAACCCAATTGAGGTGGATGCTGTCAAGCAATACATTTCTAATCTTTCTGCTGTAATTCAGTTAGTTCCTCCTCAAAATATTATGAACTTCATGGAGATAGGTCTTACTGGTGATCCCCTCAAAACTATGGCAGTAGAGCTTCGTGAGTTACGGTATCCTGTTGGCAAAAGAAAAGTTAAGTCAGCTGCATCTGTTATGTTAGCTTGTACAGCTGTTGGTAAAGTACTACCATCTTATGTTATATTTGAGGGTAAACCAGTTAATATCAAAGGAAAAGTTCCCGGGGAATTTTACGCAACTAAATCAGGCTGGTTTGATGAAATAGCTTTTGGGCATTGGGTTGAATCTGTCCTCTTACCCTGGGCTGAAGGCCTAGAAGGAAAAAAAGTTGTTGTTGGTGATAGCTTGGCTCAGTTATTTACCCTAAAAAGTCTAGCTCTGTGCATGGATAAAAATATTACCTTTGTGTGCATGCCGTGCAATGTGTCTGGTGTACTTTCCCCACTTGACATAGTTCTGTGTGATAAACTGAGAATACAGTGGCGGGTTCAGACGCGTTTGTGGGCATCTTCCCACAGTGACAAGTATATTGCCATTGAGGATTATCCATTTCATATACAAGAATTGCTGAAGTCAACAATTGGTTCTGATATGCCAGACCAAATTCGCAAAGCTTTCAAAGTGATTGGTCTGTATCCATTCAGCTCTAAAAATACTATGAAGGCATTAGAAAATGGAGGTGTGTCTTTGGAACACTCTAAACATAAACAGGTAAGGAATTGTTCAAATTCAAGTTATTGAGGTATCAATCTTAGTTTCCAGTAGTATTTAAAACTTGCCTCTTGCTCTACTTATGATCTAAAATGTTTCAGCCCACATCAAAGAAGAGAAAGCGAATTTATATTGGAACTGTTGGATCGGTTGAATGTCCCAAAAAGAAAGAAGTAGTAGAAGAGTCAGCTGCTGTCAAAGAACTTGTAATTGATGATGCAGTTCCTCCTAAAGGTATTGATATTGCTGAAATTGTTGAAGCTCTCAAGTGTTCAAAAGACCTTATCGAATTAGAACCATATTATTATGGTACGAAGCCATCTTCAGATGAGCTTGTCAAAAATGAGTTTAAAGTAGCTGACTTAACTGTTAAGGTATGTATGTTTGTACATATAGCAGTAGGTAAGAATTAAGGTACAAAGTATAATCATACATCTGATGATTTTGTCAACTTTTTTAGTGTCCTATGTGCCACCATCAAATTTCTGACAATTTGACTTTAATGAAGCATATTTTGGGTCATTCTGAAAAAGATCCAACTATTGAGGAATTGTTACGTATTCACCTATGTAGGTATTGCGCTAAGCTTTTTCCCACTCAAGATGAGTTGGTTAGGCATGAATCACAGGTAATCCCATAAACTCTTACATATTGAAAACACAATAGATTCAATGTCTAATAACATGAAGTTGTTTTAATTTATTATTTTCTTCTGTGTTTATCCTTGCTTATCTGTTATCAGGCCCACAAAAATCTGGAATCAAAAGACAATGTGTGCCTAATTTGTGCTGAGCAAAAAGAGAGTAGAGAAAGCCTTATTCTACACATGCAACAAACTCACACTGAAATGGAACTGCCTTACATATGTACTATCTGCCATTACCGAAGCAGTGAGCAGTACAAGCTAGTAGATCATTTTTATGAGGTCTGTTGTGTTTTTTTTTTCGTTTTTTTGCTTTTCTGGAGGCTGAAAGTGCCATTTTTTAAATACATCATCTCTTTGTCTCTGAATTTCACTGCAGGTCCATGCTGGTGGAGAGAGAATACAGTGCCCTTACTGTTTGAAGTGTGTTGCCATTAGTAACATGGGCAAGAAAATGGCAGCAAACACCTTTTTCTTTATGCATCATGTGAAGAAACACCAAGCACACCACACCTCACGAAAGTGTGACAAGTGTACTCTCTGGTTTGTCCATAAAGGTATTCTGAAAGAACACCAGGCCAACGACCACCTAAGCTGCAAATCGGAATCAGGTACCATAATATTGACTATTTATTAATTATTGAATTATATAGTTTTCTAAATTTTCCCCTGAACTTTCTATTATTTTTGCATTTCAGATGTTATTGCATACAAATCTAGTTACCTAGAATGTGTCATGATGCCACAACCCAAGTTTATTAAAAATTTAGATGTGCAAGTTCCAGATGATCTTGTACCACATGCAGACTTTTACCGAAGTAGCATAAGACGACTTATTGTTAATGCAAATGTAGCGCAATTCAAATGTGTGGAATGCAAGAGTCATTTAAATGACCACTTCCTGTGAGTTTAGTGTAATGTGTTTGTAATCTAATTTTTGAGCCTGGCAATTTGTCACTTATTGTTTATTTACAGTGATTCTATGCTATGCAAGCGATGTTCATTCTCAACTTGCTGCTCTTTTGCTATGGATCGGCACCTTAAAGTATTTCATACTGTGGGTCTTAGTCCAGAGAAGACCCAAATATCTGTACAGAATTTACCTGAATTGATGGTCTGCTCGTGTGCCAGTTATGAGTCTAAAGACGGCAATGCGCTTGGTTTGTTGTTCCATATTTTTCTCTTTTTTTCCACATTTATCCTGTACATTACTTTTATTCCAGCTATAGCTCAGTTGTTCTTTTTTCTATACCTCGATTCTTACATTTACAGCTTCGCATATGGCAGTGTGTGGTTTTGGGAATGGAGTTGCTTATCCATCTGTAGTCTCTCCCCCTGAATCATCACTTCAAAAAGGTAAAAGATCGACCTAAAATCTCTCATTTGCATCCATTAAGATAGGGTTACCACTTGGCATGGGCATTATTGGCCGCTCTCCCCCTTCGGTCCAATCAAATCAATTAAAATCTTCCTTAAATTATTTTATGCCTGTTTTATTTTGCAATGTATATTAAATAAGAATCCATTTGTTCCAGTTCCAGGTCCCCCTAGCTTATTCAACTCATTGGGCTTGATCAAGAACAATTCTACCGAAGAAAATGAAGTTGGCAATGAACAAACCAGAGACCGTCCTCTTAGTAGGGTACGATATCACTCTAGCCCATGCTATCTATTAAATGGAGTTCAGTTATTTATGTTTCTAATTTTCTGCAAGTGGCATGCATAGGTATTTTATTGGTTTACATTTTTTCTTCCTTTTTCAGGCAAGCAACAGTAGTAGCTCATCACAGAAACGGAAGCGCACTGTTAAAGATGCGGGTTTTGATTCAGACAACAAAGACACACAAATTTCTAAAAGAGTAAGTGTTTCAGAGAATTCTATTTCTACCTGAAGTCAACTCGCGCTAAAACGGTTCCGCTTATAACGTTTATCCACTTATAGCATCACGTTTTTGTGCACCAGACCCCGTTTATAGCCTTCTTTTGTTAATAACGTTCCTTAACTTTGCTATTTCTTTATCGCATTAGCTTTTGTTGACTGTTACAGACGGTATTTATTAGAATTTACAATTTACTTAATTTTTGATCTTTTCAGCAGGATGGTGAAATGGCAAGACCAGCCTCCAGGAGTGATCGCAATCATGTTTCAGAACCCCATTTGGAGGCGTCTCTTGATTTACACAATAATAGTCAATCATTTGAGGTGAGAAAAGATAATTGAGAGTATGTCACTGCTTTGCTTATATTTCGCTGAATGCTTGTTTGGAAATTTTTCTGCACCATCTCAAGTGATATAATTATTGCTTGTTAGTTTACTTTACAATTTTAAAATTATCATTGACATATCTGACTGTATTTTTTTAAATTGTTTAATAGTTAACTGTTTGTTTTCAATTAAACATTGATCCAATTATTGTTTTCCATTCAATTTATTAATGGTACCTATACTAGATACGTACACTAAATCTGTGATATGTTATCGAGGTATTTTGTAGTTCTTTCATGAATGATCTGGAATATCTTTCATTCAAATACAAATACTTGATTGAAGCGTTGTTTTGTTCTCTTCTTTAGAAAAACCAAACACTGCTTTGATTCGTTACATCAGCCTTTTACGCTTCCAAGTATTTGTTCTCCCCATAGTAATTCAGCATAGGACACTTTTGATAGTGACTAGTGATATGTTATTTCTAACAACAATTCCCGGTAACTCAAGTAGTCTGGTTAAGAAGTGCACTTGTTGTGCTTATTGTACATGCCTGTTGTACAGTGTAACAGTATTAAGAAAGGATGCATCATCTGGCATCCACGCTCGCTTAGCAGGCTTATGAAGTGTCTGCCAAACACCTTCAATAATCATTTGATTTTTATTGATTATCCAGTATATTAATTCCATCCTCATTTATCAGGCAATTTCTTCTAGTGAAACATTGATCCAAAATATGCCAAATGGTACAGAACATGGGCCCGTGAAAGAGACATGTCCTGGAGGCACCTCTCATGGCTCTTCCTAAGCAAAATTGAAATGTTCTTTCGAATAATTGATTGATATTGTTCTTTTCAAAAGGGAGGGAATGAGGAATTAAAGCAAGAAAAGGGCCCTCAATGACAGGTGGCAGGGCCAAGAATGAAGAAATGAGAAACTAGCTACTACATATCGCATGCATTAACAATTATGGTACATGTGATACCATTTCTCAAGAAATTGGGAAGATCTTTTTTTGTGACACAATATTTTTTTTATGCACAAAATTCTTTGAATCAGTATAATATTTGAAATAATTGTGTTCAAAACACTAGCTAAAGGGTTTCATCTCACCATCTTTTGTGAACCAGAAAATAATGGAGAAATTTGCAGTATAGCCGAGTGTAGTAACCTAATACTTCATGTGATCAGAAGACTAAGATTACCATTTGCTGTATCCTGTTGTCCAGAAATTTGACTTTTTGGGGGTTTGTTCACCTTTGCAGGGTAATGGCATTTAATTGGGTGTAAGTTTAGTTTTCATACTGTTTGAATCAATATTTGCTTGGATATTTTGAGTTGAGGGTTCATGGTATGAAAATTATGCTCTTTTGAGAGGTAAGACTTTTACTGTTTGTCGTCTTCAACTTGATGCAAATGTGCTTGGATTCATGAATGAATTCATGAAATATGTTGGTTAATTAGTTGTATGACTTTGTGTGTCTTCATGATTTTTGAAGCTAAACTTGAAAAATGTGACCAATTTTTTTTTCTTAATTCCAATGTTTTATCAATTAGGAATGGGCAGTTAATCAGATGTACCATATCCTTCTTGTAGAATTTGATGTTTGTGGAAAAGTAAGAAAAACAATAAAAATCTAAAAAGAATACTGATCGGGTTGAAAAACTATTACACATTTAATCCAAAGAATATAAAGCAATACAAATCACAAGAATGCTTAAAGAAATAAGCACATGATTCCCGTGTCAACATTAGCCAACTAACGGATTATAGCCGTAACATTTATGTACAATTTGTAATTTCAAATTATGTTTCAAAATTGAGCTATTCTTAAATATTACTTAGTCTCTTAAAACGTCAAGACAAAGTATGAATAGAGTATCACATTTCTGGGTCAAACATACAGCTAGATGCTTAAAATTCTAGGAAATGAAGTTAATATTGTCTTATCCTGGTTGCAGCACTGACATTTCTGTAAGGTTGTAAAGTGGGTTGTAATAATAAACAGATACCAACTCCATTGAAATGGACTAGATGGGGTTTTACAGCGGGTTTTGCTGAGAATGAATATGTTAAAAAACAACCAGCATGGGAATAAAGCTGCAGAGAAAAAAGCCACAAGAAAAGAGCAAAGTTTGCAAAAACTGCAATATCAGTCTTGGGTTTCTGTTTAATAGAAATTCTTATCTTAAAGAGTTTCAGATTTATATACTACTATTTTTTAGTACATGAGAGTATTATAGGAACTAAAATTTGACTCAACATGTGTTTTAGAAATATGCAAATTATGATACTAGCCAAAAATATTGTTGCTTAGATTTTTTTTTCTATCTATGGATTTAATTTAAGCAGTATAAACTTAGTTGATACCAATACACTCAACTGGAAAGATGTGTCAGCACAAAGCTAAAATATTCTAGTGGAAAGACAAACAATCACAATCATTTTTATCATCACTAATTTTATAAATACATCAACCTTAAATTAAAACAGTATCATTTCTCATGTTTAGTTTTGGAAAAAATAAAATGTGTCTGTTGAGGTGGTAGAACTCACAGACACCTTGGGGTGTTGTCTTCCAGTATAGTTCCCCAAAACGCTGATATTCATTCATCTATTCTTACTGAAGGGAGTTCCAATGGGAAATTATGCGGTTTGGTTTTAGAGAGCCGCTTTTCACTTCCGCTCCATTCCGGGTCGGGTCAAAGGAAATTATTTAGTTTACACCCTAGCTTGCGTCTGATCGGCGGCCACGGATGCCGTCATGGCGGTCACGGCGTCGTGCACCGACGGGAAGACGCGGAGGCGATCCCGGTCGGGCGCGGGACCCGAGCGCACAATGCTGCGCAGGACGACGTCCGAGGGGGCGGCGAGGCAGACGGACACGTTGATGCGACCGTACTCGGCCGCGACGCTCAGCAGGGAGCGCACGCCCTCCGCGTCCACACGCACCACCCCGCTCATGTCCAGGACCACGGCGTGCAGCTCGGCGGGCTCCTGCCGCTTCATCTCCTCCACGAAGTTGGCCGTGCTGCTGGCGGGCGCGTCCCGGAGCTGGCCCTGCTGGACCTTGCCCTGGCGCGCCAGCTCCTTCTCCGGGACGAGCCCGACCAGGCGGTACAGGTTGTCCCTGAAGGCGGACCTCGTGGCGAAGTTGATGACGCCGGCGTAGCGGAATATGACGAGCCCCGGCACGCGCTGCGCCGCGCCGTACAGGGCAGGGTCCACGTACAGGTCCGTGCCGGGCAGCGGGGCGAGCAGGTGGCACACGGGCCGCACGCCCTGGCACACTAGCGACACGAGCGACAGGGCCGCGCCCACGCCCAGGCCCACGTCGATGTCAACCAGGACGACGGCGAGGAACGTGACGACCCAGACGGCGCCGTCCCACCGCGAGCTGCGCACGTACCCGGGCGCCGAGCGCACCTGCAGCAGCATGCTGCGCAGCGCCACCACGATGATGGCGGCCAGGACGCAGCGCGGCAGCGGCTCGAAGAAGGGCCCGGCCCACAGCAGCACGACGGTGAGCAGCGAGCACGACACGAGCGAGGTGAGCTGCGTGCGGCAGCCCGCCGCCTCCTGCACGGCGGAGCGCGACAGGGAGGCCGTGACGGGCATGCACGAGAACAGGCTGCCCACCAGGTTGGACGCGCCCTGCGCCAGCAACTCCTGGTTGGGCCGCACTTCGTAGCCGTTCTGCGCAGAGAGAAAGAGAGGATCAGCCGCTGAAAATGCACTGGTCGGGGCGTGAAAGAGCAGCAAGAGACAAGGCGTGGCGTACCTTGGTGGCGAAGATGAGCGCCAAGGACATGGCGATGGTGTAGGCGACCACGGCGATGGGGATGGACTCGATGGCCACGGCCCACAGCAGCGCGGGGCGCGGCACGGCGGGCGCGGGCAGCCCCGTGGGGATGTGGCCCAGCGGGGTGAGGGCGTACGAGGCGAGCGGCGCGCCGGGCCCCATGGACAGCAGCGTCCCCGCGATGACGACGAGCAGCTCGACGGGAACGGGCAGCGGGCAGCGCCGCGACAGCCACGGCTTGAGCGCCTCGTTGTTGGCCGTCAGCAGCAGCATCGTGACGAGCGACACGATCACGGCGGCCACGTTGGCCGTGCCGATGTGCGTGCAGATGTCCACCCACTGCATGATGATCTTGAAGGGGCCGGTGGGCGCGGCGGGCAGCGCCAGGCCGAGCAGGTCCTTGATCTGGCTCGTCAGCACGTGGATGGCCGCGGCCGTGGTGAAGCCCGACACGAGCGCCTCGGAGAGCAGCGCGCTGAGCACGCCGAGCCGCAGCGCCCACATGAGCATCTGCGCGGCGCCCACCATCAGCGCCACCGCCGACGCCACCTCGATGGGCGAGGGCAGCGGCGTGTCCGGGGCGGCCGTGGCGTTGCCGAGCGGTCCGGGAGAGAGTCCGGGAGTGGTGTGCGCCGTCACCACGTGTCCCGTCATCAGGCAGATCACGGCGAAGGTGCCCATGGACACGTGTCTCGACGTCCCTGCAACGTGAGCGGGTCACCGAGTCGTTAGTCACGTTCGGGCATGACCGACCCACTGCGGTTGACGTCGACGGGATAGGCTTAAACTCACCGAAGAGGCAGTACACGAGGACGGGGAAGAAGGCCATGTACAGACCCACGACGGGCGGGACGTTGCCCAGGAGGGCGTAGGCCAGGCCTTGGGGGATGTGCATCACGGCCACGGTGAACCCAGACACCAGGTCCCCTGGAAAGCCATTAAACAGGTGAAACAAATCCCTCGTCGGGCAAACGCGGTCGGCGAGCGGAGGCAGACGGGCGCGCAGGGACCTACCGACGAGGTCCTCTCTCCACTTGTAGCGGCCCAGCCACTCCACGATGGGGAGCACCCCTCTGACGGTCTCAGCCGCCCTCTTGGCGGAGCAGGCTCCGCTGAGGCGAGGGAGGGCGTCGCGTACGTCGCCGCACGACGGCCAGCAGGACGAGCAGCATCTGTCCACGGGTTCCTGTGCACGAGAGGAGTTAGAGAGAGAGAAAGGGGGGGGGGGATAAGTACCCCGGATGTATGCAACCCATCCGACGTCTGTGCGCAGCGCCATGGCGGGGGTTGCCTACCATCGACTCCGCAGGCGCTCTCCGCCCGCTTACTCCGGGCTCCGGCCGAAGCACTCACCTTCTCGGCGCTCCTGCTGACGGCCCTGCCGTGGTAGGAGAACCTCCCCTGCAGGTCCCGCTGCTCCAGCACCGCCCTGTCGACGCGCAGGGACACGGTGGGGGGCGCGCCCTGCTTGACGCCCAGCAGGCCGCGCGAGTCCTTGTTGTGCGGGGCCGTGGCGCCGTACAGGCCGCCGCCCGCGGTGGGGGCGCCGCCCGGCGAGGGCGATGTCCCAGGGCTGCCCCTGCAGCAGAACAGAGATGCGGTCGTTAGTAAAGTGGGTGAGGTGGGGCGGGGCAGGGCGGCGTGGGTCAAAGACCAGAGGTGGCGCGGACACCTGGCTTGGCTACTCAATGGCCCTCCATGGTCCTCCTCTCCTCACCTCTCCGATCGTTGACATCCCGCCACAGGATGGCCACGGTATTATACGTGCTTCCCCACTTAACTCGGACGGAAATGGTGTCGGCGAAGTATGTAGTATTTTTCCTCGGCATGTATACGGGGCCATCTGAGTAGTGGATACCCGCCATACCCCCGCTAGTTCGGCCGGATCACTCCGAGAGAACCGATTACCGGCGGGGGGAAAAGGGGGGGGGGGCGGATAGCGGCGTGGCGGATTGCGCTCAAGTTGCGCACGTGCGGCGGGGCCGTGCAAACAGAGCGGACGAGATTGCCCGCCGCTGCTGCGCCCCGACCCGACCCGAGTTTGCAGAATGCACGTTGCCAGACAGAGGGGCTCGGCTCATGTGCCCCTCATGCTGCTGCTGCTGGCTCCGCGGGGGGTCAGCGGGCGCGCCGGTGTAGGACAACAAGAAGAGTGCGAATGAGGCGAACCGGTCGTGGAGCGGGGCACCACCGCACCGCCACCAGCCACCACCAGCCACCACCAATGTCGAGGGGGGACGTTTCCCCGCACTGTCAACCATCTGCCGCGGCCCTGCCCCTGCTGCCTGTCGGGCCCTGGCTGCCTCTGGCCCGTTCGCCGCCGCTCGCCTCGCCAGGCTATTCGGAACGAGACACACTTTGCAACCTGTCTCTGGTGTCCAGCCCAGCAGTGCCGTACTGAACAAGTGGGACTGCACAGGGCAGGGCCCGACCGGCCCGGCCCGACCTGGAAGCCCCCCCCCCCTTCCTCTCGCTTTGTTAGCCTGGTCTACCGCCAGGTTCCCCCGTTGCCCCCTGGTGGGGTGTCGATGTTACATTGAAATACTTTATAACATTTCATTGCACTTTCAAGTGGAAGCATGAGACTTGGTACACTTTTAGATAGGTCGAACGGGCGGCAATCGATTCCTCCCCTGACATTAACATAAGCCCGCTGGATAGCATTCTCAAAGCAGAAGGGCGGGCTAAAAAATAGAGACCGATTGACCACGATGGCCACTTATCAGGGGTCGTCCAGAAAGTACGTCCGATTTACTCAGATTCATCCGTCGGATTGCGGGAGCTCGGCGCCTGCGAGACTCGGAGTAGGCCACCCCGCAGCACACGCATGCACTACAAGCAAGATGTTGCCTACGCATCAGGCGATATGAGAGCGAGCGTAGGCTACATAATCGGAAGTTTTGAAACGGAGAATGGCGGGCGTACTTTCTGGACGATCCCTTGGGACTTACTTAGCGCCTGTTGGTCTGAAAAGATGCATGGAGCATTTCATACTTTTCTTTGAAAATGGTTCAAGTTTGGTTTTTCGACTGGAGTTCAGGTTCGAGCAGCTTGTGCTCTGCTCTCGCTCTCGCACACGCACTAGCGCTCTTTCGCATTCTTTCCCCGCCGATGATAATGATGCCGATCCGTCACGAAAAACGGCAAATAACAGCCTCTCACGCTGCGTAGGGAAAAAGAACAGCAACGGCCGCGACGGAATTAGTTGAGTACCACCTGCTCCTGCACGTGTGGGAGGAGGGGGCCGGGGAAAGGGGGTGAGGTTCGGCCTCGCCGCCGGGGGATTCCTCTGTACATACCCTCCCGCTGCCGGGGATGCACTATATAATCGGCCAAATGTGGAAATATAATCCTCGGTCGGCGCCGAGTATGCCCCCTTTCGATTCCCACGAAGGTGAGGATATCGGCTTTGTCATCGTCTCCAGCCTTCTTGCCCGCAATCCCTCCTGTTTCGCGCGAGCGATCCGTCGCCAAAACCACGCGGATGACTCTAATCGCTTCCCTTTTCCGGAGTGGCGGCACGACGGCTCGGCGAGTATTGAGCAGGCGCAGTGTTGTGCCGCCCCGCCCCGCCGCGCCGCGCATTGGTGGCGCCTCACTGCGCGTTTGGTGCGCCAGGCCGCGCCGCGCCACGCGCACAACGGCAACCTCAAGGGCAGGACGAGCCGCTCGACGAGCCGTCAGCAGCGCGACCACTAGCAGCAGCAGCAGCAGCAGCAGCAGCAGCAGCAGCAGCAGCAGCAGCAGCAGCGGGGCCTTCCCCTCCCCGAACCCCCGGGGACGCACGCCTCGCAGCGTCTTAAAGATTCCTAATTTATTTCCCCTTGTTTGGCGTGTGGACGTCCCCTTGCTGGAGACTGTGACGCAGCAGCCCGTCGATGCGTTCGCGGCGCGGGGGTCGGTCGGGGCAGAGGGGCCAGGGGCGCGAGAAGAACCGCCAGCAGCAGGCCACCCCTCTGATGCCTAGCGGTTTTGGTAGCTGCGCCGCCCTGCGCCGCCCCCGCTCCCTTGCAGCCCCCTCCCCCTCCCCACCGCCGCTCATGCACAGCCAGGCTCGCGTGCCCGCCGTTGGCGAGTCCGGATGAGAGATGAGAGCACTCATTAGCACTTTTTGCATCTGAGGAAGGCTGTGCGTCTTCATCCGCGCATCATCTCATCTTGAGC